TTTCAAAAGTTGTGTAAAATAACACAGCAGTCCTGGCTGTTTGTTAGCCTTAGCTGCCCTGATACTGTGAGAATCGGCCGGCTGTCTTCCATGGTGTGGCTTTTCAAGTGTAGTATTCTTTCCAGCCTCACATCAGAAATCGCAAGCAGAATGTGCATTGCTGTCCATACAGGTGGAGTATAACATTTAGAATTGACTACTCTGTCCCTGCAGTGAGACAACAACATTAATTACCTTGCTCCTGGCATGGAAAATGATGAAAATGACCTGCACAATGAGGATGTCAAACTGTCATTTTTAATCTGACACCTGGACTGGAAATGCTAGGAATCTATGACACTTACAATTAAATACCTAAGATTATCAAACGCAAGTTCAGACAAGGCTAATTTAGAAATTATTGTCAAGACTGACTGAGGAACATTCATAATTTGGAAGAAAAAAAGCTTAAAATGGCAAAGAGCCCCACAGAGGGACCAAGTACATGGTTTCCCCTTTTAGAAACTGAACTGAAAGTCAATGACACTTGCTTTCTTTGGAAAAAAATCACGTCAATTAAGGGATGTGTGTAATTAAGAAGAATCTTTGGTATTGAACTGTTTCCAGAAAAGAAATGCTGTTTCAGTGGAGAAAAAGGGGAAATTTTTAAATTCTGGATCTCTCTTTTCCTCTTATGTTTTGATTAAGAAGAAGGAGGTTACCTTTAACGTTTTGTGTTAAACTCGACACATTGCTTGACGCCATTCGGCATTTATTCCCACATAGAATAAACGGAGACAGGAAGTACTGAGAGATGCAAGTGCCAGACTATGAGAAAACCAGGATCTATCTTAAGATATTCTCAAACTCTCAAGAAGCTTCCAGTATACCCCAAGTCATCCTTTTTTAAATTAAAAAAAAGAAAGAAAACCCCAGAAAAGCACTTACTATATCTTACAAATAACAGGAGGTCATTTTCTTCTCAATACCTTCATTGGCCAAGCGAAAATTCCCAACTTATTCCACATAAATTGTCCATGTCTATTTGAAATATCAGAATCCAAGGTATGAATAACTAGGGCATTTTTGAACAAGGTATTCTGAACCAAAGTTGTGGGGTGAGAAGCAATATTAACAGGAGAATGGTACGCGCAGGTATAATGACAAACCAAAAGCTGTCCCAATCTGATACACTTCCTTAGGAAAAAGCCCACTCTGTGCGTTATATCAGAAAGCTGAGTTTTCAGTTCAGTTGCTGATGTTTGGACAATGGCGAGTTCAGGCTCATTAGGAAGGAGGGAGTGGTGCTGGAGGGAAGGCTGGCGGAGGGAGGACTAACCACGTAAGCACTTGGCATCTGTGAACCAACGACAGCTCCATAAAGGCCCAGGAAAACAGACAACAGACTAAGGGAGGAACGTGTGAGGGGCCAGCCTCGGTTTTAAGAGGAGTTTTATAATTAAAAAAAGAAAGAAAGGAAGAAAAAGTAATAAAAAATTTAAAAAAAAGAGTTTTACATGCAAAAAAGAAAGAAACTGGACCCACGTGCTTTCCAGAGAGGGCTTTCCCCTTTCAAGGAGGGGAACCCTGACTTGGGATGTGGACACAGAGCTTGGAGTGCCGGCAGGCAAGCTACTCCTCCACCAGATCCCATTCCAATGGCGTGGCTTCTCGTTTCTGAGATTCCTGTGACTCCTTCAAAAGCACAGCCTCTCAGTGAAACCTCAGATTACCAGCACCGAGACAATACATGCAGAGGATGCCTTGGGCAGAACTGCAAAGCAGGCAACCTTTGCTTTCCTGGGTGGCCCCAGCCACCCAAACATCTCAGGTAGAGAAAATCTCAGGTAAAGAAAGCTGAGATTCTCTTTACCTGAGATTTTCTCTACCCGAGATTTTTCTCTACCCAAGATTTTTCTCTACCCGAGATTTTCTCTACCCGAGATTTTCTCTACCCGAGATTTTTCTCTACCCGAGATTTTCTCTACCCGAGATTTTTCTCTACCTGAGATTTTTCTGTACCTGAGATTTTTCTCTACCTGAGATTTTCTCTACCTGAGATTTTCTCTACCTGAGATTTTCTCTACCCGAGATTTTTCTGTACCTGAGATTTTTCTCTACCTGAGATTTTTCATGATGCTTCTTTCCTCTCTACTTCTGAATGTGTTGGGCTCTGCATGTGGCACGTGGAGTTGTGACGAAGCGCCCTCCTGCAGCTGTATGTGCTATGTCCCTATGTCCCTGTCGTCATACGATGCTACTCTGGTGCTGTGGTATAGCCGGACACATCTTATGCTGGGCTCGAGGCCCTTCACCGCAGGACAGGGTGGAGAGCTCAACTGGAGGAAGTCATTTGGTGGAGGTCAGGCATCAAGGGAAGAAGCTCAGCTCTCAAATTTAAAGCTGGAATTTGGAAGGAGAGCTTCAGAGAGAAAGAGAGTTTCTCTCTCTCTGGGCCTTGACCTTGATGGATGAGTACCCATCCATCTAAGGAGAAACCAACATCCAGGACTCAAGAACTCAGACAGAGTGACCTCGTTTATGGCAGGCCTTCGGAGCTGCAAGGTAATTAGCTCAGCCTTTCAAAGCAGGGCTGTTTGAATGCTCGTATACGCTGTGTTTTAGCTTCCATCTGCTCCACCTGTTAGAGGAGTGGTCAAAGCCCCGGTCCATCCTAGCTGGATGAAAGGGAATGCAACAGCAATGGCATCCCGGCTTCAGCAGGGATCCTCAGGTATGCACAGCACGTCTCCGGGGCTGGGAACAGCCGCTGAGCTAAATGAAGTAAAACACCCTAGAAGTCAAAACCCTTGTGAACAGAGCTCTGCTCTCCTGCTCAGCAAAAAGATTCCGTTTGGGCTTCTAAACTTTGATTCTGGATTTGGGATTCTGATTCTTGCTTCTGGATTTTGTTTTATTAAGAAAGTGGTGACTCTCATACTCCAGACCCTTTCCCTCTACCTCCTTACAAAACCTGCTCCAAAGGGGGGATAAAACCATATCAATTTATTCAGCAAACATGCAGTAAAGGCCTCCTGGGTACCGGGCTGCCGGTGATGCTCTGGAGGGGCCCTGTGCCCCACCCCGGTCCACAGGGAGCTGACAGCCTATTGGTCAGTGCTCATCCCCCCAGCTATTTTCATTCTAAGACTGTGAATGAAAACATTTTAGTCTACAACAAAGGAACAGCTGATGTCACCAGCATTTGGGACCAGTTTTCTGGGCCCTCAGCTCTGTGCAAGGCTCATTTGAGGCATGGATGAAAGGAGCTGACCATATTCTCCCTCATTGCTCTACAGAACTGATGGCACGAGGGTACCTAGCACACTACCAGTTGGCTCTGTGTGTTTACCCATCTGACTCCCTGCCCCGCCTGCCAGACCCATGACTGCACCAACTTAAATCTCTTAGCGGCAGCTTTAACAGGACCTGGCCCTCCAATAAATTCAAGCAGACATGGGATGCACAACAGATCCAGAGTAATAAGCTATATTAAATTACAATGGCTTTTCTAGTCTTTGGTAAGAGAACTATGCTGGCAAATCCTGATTCTGAAAGAAGAGTTTACAAGTCAGTGTTTCCCAGCACTCCCGCCGAAAGGCAACACTCAGACTGGAGGAAAGAGAAAAGGCAGAACGTGAGAATAAAGAAATCACAGAGGTGACCGGGTGCTGTGGGTCACGCCTGTAATCCCAGCACTTTGGGAGGCCAAGGCGGGTGGATCACAAGGTCAGGAGTTCGAGATCAGCCTAGCCAATATGGTGAAACCTCATGTCTACTAAAAACACAGAAGTTAGCTGGGCGTGGTGGTGGGTAACTGTAGTCCCAGCTGCTTGAGAGGCTGAGGCAGAAGCATCGCTTGAACCCGGGAGGTGGAGGATGCAGTGAACTGAGATCATGCCACTGTACTCCTGCCTGGGTGACAGAGCAAGATTCTGTCGAAAGAAAAGAAAAGAAAACAGAAAGAAAAGAATAGAAAACAGAAAAGAAAGGAAAGGAAAGGAAAGGAAAGGAAAGGAGGAAAGGAAAGGAAAGGAAAGGAAAAGAAAAGAAGAGAGAAAAGAAAAGAAAAGAAAAGAAAAAAGAAAAGAACAAAGGTATCACCATAGACAGACACTGAAAAACAGGATATTCATCCTCACGTGAGGAGAGTTAAACCTCCCAGCCTGCTGTGGGCACCTTCACCACCTTTATCCAACAGTCAGTGTGCAGGATAAGGTAAGAATTTCAGTGCTTATTCACAATAGCAAAGACATGGAATCAACCTAAATATTGGTTGATTTAGACTGGATAAAGAAAATGGGGTATATATCCACCATGGAATACTACACAGCCATGAAAAAGAATGAGATCATGTCCTTTGCAGGGACATGGATGAAGTCAGACCATGTCAAACCCTGTGATACTTTCCCATGTCACTCAGGATAAAAGCCAAGGCCCCAAACAGCCTACCAGGCCAGCCTGCTCTGGGGCCTGAGGGGTCTCAGCCTCCCTTATCTCACTCTTGCACCAGCTGTGCGGGCCTCTCTGCTGTTTTTCCACAAGCTGGGCATGCTTCTGCTTTAGCGATTCCCTCTGCTGGGAACCTCCTTTCCCTAGACGGAGCGGGTCCAAATCTCACCTTCTCCACAAGGCTGACCCTGACCACCCCACTGCACGCTGTGAACTTCCCGATCCCTTCTCCGGGATTCCACGTCTGCGCAACCCTGGTCTGCTTTCCTTCCTTGAGTAGCCCACGCTGCCATCCAGCCTGCCTCCACTTCTGGGGTTCACCGCTCCAGGCTGGCTCCCTGGGCAGGGAAGTTAGCTTCGCCAACTCCTCCCTTCACAGATCACAGCTTCCACACAGCACTCAACAAACACGGGCCGCAGGAGGAGCACAGCAGTGAATGGAAATATAAAATTCTTTTCAAAAGGCGGGTGGATCACTTGAGCCCAGGAGTTTGAGACCAGGCTGGCCAAAAGGATGAACCCCATCTCTACTAAGAATACGAAAATTAATCTGGCATGGTGGTGCGCACCTGTAGTCACTTCAGAAGGCTGAGGCAGGAGAATCTCTTGAGCCCGGGAGGTGGAGGCTGCAGTCAGTCAAGATCACATCACTATGCTCCAGCCTGGGCAACAGAGTGAGACCCTGTTTAAAAAACAAAAGTCGTACATTTAAAGGTGCTATTTAATACAGGACGTAGAGGAATGTTAACACATTTGTGTCACAGTGCTGCTTCTAACAGTAAGAAAGCCCAGTCTCCTCAGGTACCTGTTCTCATGGCTTCCTCTACTGGTTCTTCGTGCAAAACTATTAGGAATCCCAATGAACTGCTCCATCTTCTGATTTCTGAGATGACCTATTCATCTTCCTACTTTCCCATCCTAGTAACTCCAAGGTTCCTCTCTCTTCCTAGGACCAGGTCTTTTCTGAACCATTTCTAAAAGAAAAACGTTTCCACAAAAAATTCCTTCTGGAATCAGACAATCTGGGTGTGTACCTGGCTTCACTTTCCTCATCTTTACAAGGAAGGTTGCAATAGTAGCTACCCCACGTGGCCGCGTGAGGATGAAAGGAATAAATTCATGCAAACTCCCTAGAGCACTGCCTGGCATACAGCAGGAACTTCCTGTGCCGGCTATTTTTATTTTCAGTGTTACTGAATCGTGAAGAAAACTGTCCGATTTAGAGATATGCTGTGCCACTTTAACTTGGTTTTAAATGCTATTGATCAACATAATCGAAAGTAAAGCAAAACAAAATAAGACTTTTGTCTGCATCATACAAAATATCCGGACAGGTTTTCACCGAACTTGGCGTTACCTGACTTTCATCTAAGTCGCATGGTCCAAACTCTCTTTGGAAAAGTGCCAAAGGAAATTTCAACAGGATGGGCAGTCATTGTCCAGAGTAGCCCGAACTCAAGTATATAAGACTCACAGAATCAAAAACAGAGAGGTGTTCTGCAAACATTGAGATGCCACGGACAGTGAAAACCTTGGTCATTTTGAACAGGAGCCCTGAGCTGCAAGTTGCAAGGGCCAATGCTCCTACCTGCTGGTACTGAGTTGCTTTCAGGCAGCTTGTCACGTGAGCAACTCCATGCAAGCTGACCCAGGTGAGAGACAGTAGGGTGGTTTATTTAATCATTGCTAATGCTGGCCGGGTGTGGTGGCTCATGCCTGTAATTCTAGCACCTTGGAAGGCTGAGGCGGGTGGATCATCTGAGGTCAGGAGTTTGAGACCAGCCTGGCCAACAATGGTGAAATCTCATTTCTACTAAAAATACAAAAATTAGCTGGGTATGGTGGCTGGTGCTTGTAGTTCCAGATGCTTAGGAAAGTGACGCAAAAGAATCACTTGAACCTGGAAGGCAGAGGTTGCAGTGAGCCAAGATCATGCTACTGCACTCCAGCTGGGCAACAGAGTGAGACGCTATCTCAAAATAATAATAATAATAATAATAATGATAATTGTTACTGTTTCCCCAAAACAACTCTAAGGAGATCATTTAGCAGGTTAAAACACATCAGCCCCTTTAGAGGAAAATAAGTTAAATTTTCCCTAAGATCAAGTCTGAAAAGACGTGCGAAAACTCACGAAGCACAGCGTTTTGGGATTCAAGGTCAACCCACAAGTAGGGGAAAGATGTATGACAGGATTTGAAAATTGTGAGTGACCTCAGAAACGATCATTTTGCAGTTGAGAAAAATTAATAAATTAAAAGGTTAAGTCCATAGCAAAAAGAAAAAGTCTTCTCCCTCTTGAGACACCACCAAAATGTAAGGATAATGAAAGATTAAAATATATATTAATCTACATTGTCAAAGAGACTAGAGAGTAGCTATCCGCTGATGAATGATTTCAACAAAAATTCCAACAATTAGGCAGAAAGCCAGTAGAGAAGTGAGGGATGACTTGCACAAGGCAGAGGAGGAGGTAGCATAGTGCCCACCAGGGGTGTCTGGATCAAAGGGAGTGGTAGCTGGTCCTACAGGACTCTTCAGGAACAATCTCTGCCCACAAAATGCATAGGAATAGAAAAAGGCAGCCACATTCATGTACAAGTATTGATAAGACAGAACAAGTTCACTACGGCTCTTCTGTTTATTAAAAATATCCTTCAAAAATCCAAATACAAAGCTAAAGAAGATTACAACATGACACTCCAAACAGAACTAAACATCCTCCAACAACCACCTGGGATGCTCCAACCAATCTAATTCATAAATATAAAAATAAAATGGCCAATAAAAACTGGAAAAATAAAATAAGGTTTGATCCCGGGAAAAATAACAAGACAGTATTATACCAGAACTGAAAACTGAGTTTCAAGGTATCGAGGTAAGAATATATTCAAAGGAAAATAAAATAATGAACACTGAAAAACAGCAAAAAAAACCCAAAAAAACAAAAAAACCCAAGATAATGGAAGCAGGGTGAAGAAAACAAAACAAACAAAAAATAGTTTAAGAAAAAGTGATGAAATGGAAGACAGGCGAAACACGTACAACATATATAATGGGTATCAACACACAAGAAAACCAAAATAATGAAACATAACTAATATTTAGAATGATAACCCAAGAAAAATGTCCAGAAATAAAATAAGAATTGAATCTACACATTAAAAAGTCCACCAGGTAGTAGGAAAATTGATATAGAATGAGCCACTCTAAAATACATCCTCGTAAAATTATAATATTTGATTTTAAAGATAAGGAAAATATTTTTGGGACCTCTAAGCAAAAAGATAGAGCGACTGAAAATGCAAGAGAAGTAGACTGGCATCAGACTTCCACAGCATAAGATAAGGCAAGAATGGTGCAGGGTTTTCAAGAAACTTCAAGAAGGGACGTTATATCTAGACAAGTTGTCCTTCAGGTAAAAGGCAAGGGAAAAAGTTTTACAAGTGCCAGGGGTCAGGAAATGCTATATACATGAACCCTTTCTGATGAATCTATTAGAAGATAAACTTCATCCAACCAAAAACTGATGGAGATTTCAATAAATCACTTAACTCACCTATTATAAGTATTTTCAAATTGACCTACAAACAAAATTCAATTCTTCCATATATAAAAGAGATATACCTGAATACAGTGACTTGAAAAGTCTAAAAATAAAGAGATCCATCCCTCATGTGCTACATAAGAATAAAATCCAAATAGATCAGAAATCCAAAGGTAAAAAAATATATACAAAACTCTAGAAGTACCTTAGGAAAATACGAGTGAATTCATCCATAACCTGGTTTTACGGGAGAAACTCTCTTTTTAAAATTTTATTATACTTTAAGTTTTGGGTACATGTGCAGATCATGCAGGATTGTTATTACATAGGTATACACATGCCATGGTGGTTTGCTGCATCCATCCCCCGTCACCTTCATTAGGTATCTCTCCTAATGGTATCCCTCCCCAATTTCCCCACCCCATCCTATCCTTCCCCTTGTTCCTCTACCCCCAACATACCCCAGTGTATGATGTTCCCCTCCTATTGTCCATGTGTTCTCATTGTTCAACACCCGCCCGTGAGTAAGAACATGTGTTGTTTGGTTTTCTGTTCTTGTGTCAGTTTGCTGAGAATGATGGTTTCCAGCTTCATCCATGTTCCTACAAAGAACATGAACTCATCCTTTTTTTATGACTGCATAGTATTCCATCATGTATATGTGCCACATTTTCTTTATCCGGTCTATCACTGATGGGCATTTGGGTTGGTTCCAAGTCTTTGCTATTGTAAACAGTGCCACAATGAACATATGTGCGCATGTGTCTTTATAATAGAATGATCTATAATTCTTTGGGTATATACCCAGTAATGGGATTGCTGGGTCAAATGGTATTTCTATTTCTAGATCCTTGAGAAATTGTCACACTGACTTCCACAATGGTTGAACTAATTTATACTCCACCAACAGTGCAAAAGTGTTCCTATGTTACTACCTCCTCTCCAGCATCTGTTGTCTCCAGATTTTTTAATGATCGCCATTCTAATCTAACTAAACATGCAATGACAAAAAGATTGACAGATTTGACAACATAGAAAATACAAAGATAAGCAAAGATAAATGGCAATCTAGGAAATAATATTTGCAATATTTATCACAGTTAAAGGGCCAATATTTTAAAGAAACAAAGAACTTTATTAAATTGAGGGGAAAAGACCAAAGTCGTATAGAAAATGGGCAAAGGACATGAATAGGCAATTCATAAAATGATTAAAAAATGACCCAACCATATGAAAAGATGTACTCTGTTAGCAAATCTGTGAAGAAACAGGCACTTTTCACACATCACTGTTGGGAATGCAAAATGGTACAATTCCTACGAAAGAAATTGTGAAAGTTGGGAATATCTAACTAAACTACATATTCATTTACCCTTCAACTCAGCAATCCCTCTTCTAAGAATTTACCCTGAAAATATACCTCCAACAATATGAATATATGTATGCATAAAGTTATTCATTGTGACCTTTGTGACTGGAAAAACACTGGGAACTACTTAAGTGTCCATATAGGAGATCAGTTGAATGAACTGTGAGGGGCAGATGGATATCACATGCCTCTAAAGGAGATCCCCTAAGAAGGGCGCATCACCTAGGTAGCATTCCAGCCAAGAATGCATCATGAATCTAACCATGAGGAGACATCAGACAAATCCAAAATGAGGACTGTTCCATTAGAAAAAGGAGAAGGGGGCCATACTCTTCAGAATATGTAGATGTGAATAAACACACACACACACACACACACACACACACACAAAGGCTGTGCAAACAGTCCAGATTGTAGGAGGCTAAAGACACACAGCAAATACACGGACTATGTGACCCTAGACTGGACACTCTGCTGGGACCGAAAATCATGCTATAAAGAGCATTATTGGCTCAACTGACACAATTGGAAAATGGGTGGTTAGCTTAGAGAAAAGTATTTTTCCAGTGTTACATTACTAAAGTTGAAAATATACTCTCTTTTGTCTTAGAAAATACACAAAAGTGTTCAGGAACAAAGGGCCATTATGTATCTAATTTACCCTCTAATGGTTCAGAAGAAGTTGGGTATGTATGTGTGAATGAAGAAACAGGGAGACAGGCGGGGGGGGGGCGGTGGGGAGGGAGAGAGAGAGAGAGAGACAGAGAGAGAGAGGGAAACAAAGACAAGTGAAGTCAAGTGTTAGCCTTGGTGAATCTGGGCAAAGTGCACATGGGTGTTCTTTGAATTTACCTTATTTTTACATCTTCTTTCAACTTTGGAAATTATTTTTTAAAAGATTAAAATGTTTCTAAAAGTCTTCCAACAAACAACAAAACAATTCTAAACATAAGTATGACAAAAGAGAAGTTCTCCCATAAAAGAGAAGTTTCCTTAAAAGTGAACAAAAATCAACCTGGACTAGCAAAGTGGACTTAGGTATTTTCTTGGCCACACCACATACCAGAATAAATGAAACAACAATTAGAGAAGTTGGAGTAATATATTTATGACATAATTTTTATCTTCAGTTATTTTTGTTTTGTGAAGGCATCAGAAAAATGATCTGGTACATACAAAGGCTCAGAAAATATCATCTATGTCTCCTGAAAGCACTTTGGGAGGCAGAGGTGGGTGGATCATGAGGTCAGGAGTTCAGGACCAGCCTGGCCAAGATGGTGAAACCCATCTCTACTAAAAACACAAAAAATTAGCCAGGCATGGTAGCGAGCACCTGTATGTAATCCCAGCTACTTGGGAGGCTGAGGCAGAGAACTGCTTGAACTTGGGAGGTAGAGATTTCAGTGAGCCGAGATCGCCCTATGTCTCTTTCTTAAAAAATCATTTGAAGAAGCATTCCACTAGACTTGAAAGAGAATTACAATTCCAGTTCTGACATCAGTGAGTGGTGCATAAAAGAACTGACCATGTCACTGTAACCAATTAAGATCGTGTTAAATCTCAAAAAATCACTCCAAATAAGCAGATGCAAATGAAATTTAGATTTCTCAGAGATAGAGAAGATACGTGACATAAAACAATGTTAAAAACAACAAACTGGCTTTTAATTAACAAAGTCTGGACAACTGGTAAAGGAAGAAACGTTACAATAGATGAGGAAATATGAGTGAGCTAAGTTATTCATTTCATATTGGGGAAATCAGAATAGAATGCATAAACTTGACTATTTTAATTTGTTAAAAGTAAATAGAAAAATACAGAAAAATTTAAAAGGTAAGTGTAATAAAAAGACAAAATTCCTGTGCTGTGAATGGCTGCTGGCTTTAAGTGAGAACTGGGCCAGAAATCTGACCTCCAAGCCCAAATTTCCTCTTCTTGAAATGGGGAGGATGCTAGCCATCTTATGTTGTCCTTATAATGTGCCCAAAATGATAAAAAGCGGTCAGATGTGGAAGGTATATCTCTACCAGTACCGAGCTCACGGCGGGGACTCTACGTGCATTCCATGCCTGGGAGGGGAGAGTGGATGATGGGGAAGGGACAAACGGAGCCAGCAATGCTCTTTACAGCATGTTCTTCTCCCCCAGCATAGTTTGCATGCTGCTCAGGGTGGCAGACCAATACATGTTGTTTCTAGAACCTCATGACTCTAGAAATAGAGTCAGTGCTATGAACAAACAGTGCTTGAAGGACCTCGAGCACATCAAGAGACTGTCTGGAACCTATTACAAGCTTCCACAGGAGCATCAGAGGTGAAGGACCTTCAACAACAAAGGAAAGCCTGATTCAAAGATGGGCGTAGGACTTGAATAGACATTTCTTCTAAGGAGATACACAAATGGCCAATAAGTACAGGAAAAGACCCTTCATACCACTAATCATTAGGGAAATGGAAATCGGCCATGAGATGCCATCTCACACCCACCAGCATGGCTACTACCAAAATACAAAAAATTACAAGTTTGGCCAAGGATGTGGGGAAATTAGCATCCTTGCTCATTGGTGGTGGCAATGTAAAATGGAAAGTCACTGTAGAAAATAGTATGATTTCCCCTCAAAAAATTAAAACTGTAACTACCATATGATCTAGCAATTCCACTTCTGGAAGCAGAAGCAGCACAAGTGTCCATTGAGAGATGAATAGGTAAACCAAATGTAGTATATACACACAATACAATATTATTCAGACTTCAGAAGGAAGGATGTTCTTACACATGCTACAACATGGGTGAACTGTGAGGACATGATGCTAAGTGAAATATATCCATTGCAAAAGGAAAAATTCTAAACGTATGATTCCATTCATATGATGTACTTGGAGTAGTTAAATTCATAGAGTCAGAAAGCAGCACGCTGGTCTACCTTGCCAGGAGCTGGGAGGAGTGGAGAATGGGGAATTATTTTTTAAGAAGTATAGAGTTTCAGTTTTGCAAGATGAAAAGAGCTCTGGAAAAGGATGGCAATGATGGTTGCACAATATTACAAATATCCTTCATACCACTAAACGATACACTTAAAAATGGTTAGGATGGTAAATTTCATGTTACGTGTACCTTACCACAAAAAAGAATTCTTTAAAGAAAGTGAAATACCTTAAAATTTATGATTAAAACTATGCACCCAGCCAATGCACCCCTTCTAAAAGCACCAGTTCCTGGTGGCGATGACTAACCATGGGACACCAGGTGACCACACTCCCAATACTCACCATTCATGAACCGGGTGTTACAAGATCGACTTGGTCGGCCAGGTGTGGTGGCTCACGCCTAGAATCCCAGCACTTTGGGAGGCCGAGGCGGGTGGATCACCTGAGGTTGGGAGTTCGAGACCAACCTTACCAACATGGAGAAACCACGTCTCTACTAAAAGTACAAAATTAGCTGAGCATGGTGGCACATGACTGTAATCCCAGCTACTCGGGAGGCTGAAGCAGGAGAATCACTTGAACCCAGGAAGTGGAGGTTGCAGAGAGCAGAGATCACGCCACTGCACTCTAGCCTGCGAAACAAGGGTGAAACTCCGTCTCAAAAAAAAAAAAAAAAAAAAGTTCTACCTGGTCATAAAGTTGGAAATTTTATGAGAAGTCCTCTACCATTAGGGACAGATGATATCTACAGCACATAAAGGCTGTAAATCATCTGTGCTCAGGAGTGAGTGATACTGCCCTGGCCACGCTGACAACACGCCCTCAGCCTCTACCCATGGCCTCATAGTAAATTCCTGATGACTTATTAACTAAAGAGGAAAACAACTGAAGCCAAATGTACACGTGGCTCTGTACCATATGCCAGATTCAGCCCCAGGTGGGGCACTGCAGTCATTATAGCCCCACTTCATGGTGGGGAAAGTCCTCCCAGGGTGCAGTACTTCGTCTATAAAATAGGCCGTCTGGACTAAGGCCCTGCATTGATTGATGGAGAAGCTAACGTTGGCCATACGGTCAGGGACAATGCTACCGGGTTTTACAAGGCCGTATATAATTAGTCTGATGTATTAAAATGGATATATGTACCATTGAAACTACATATGGCTTAATGTTAACACTGTGGGTGATTCTAAAATGCTCCCTTATATTTTCCAAGTTTTTTTTTCCCAATGGTTGTGTATTATTCTTATAAACAGGAAAAAAGTTAACTTTGTTTTAAAAAGAAACTTCCTTATGACTCCACATCATGGGAAGCCATTTAGCAGGCTTTGTGCAGTTTATTTTGCTCTGAAGTCTGTCTTCTGTAAGCAACACTGTGGTCATTCTGTGGACACATTACATTACGGCTCCGTACGAGCTTGGCTTGGCACGCAACGTGCCAAAGGCAGTGGAATCATAATGTTTATAACTGATCCAGTCATATAAATATAGGATGCAAAATGAGAGGCTTTCTGTTGATGCGACAGTACATGAGGCAGCTTGGTGTCTCCAGTCATTCAGGTTGTGGCATGAGCCTGGCTAGTGCGTAATTCCTAACTCTACTGCTCACCAACCATATGACTTTGCACAACACAAGCCCAAATTCCTCTTCTTGAAAAGGGGAGGATGCCAGCCATCTTATGTTGTCCTTATAATGTGGCCAAAATGATTAAAGGTGGTGAGATATGGAAGTTATCTCTCTACCAGTACTGAGCTCACATTCCATACATGGGGCAAGAGAGTGAATGATGGGAATGGAACAAGGAGATGGTGCAGTTCTTTCCCAGCTCTGAGAGGCTGTTTAGAAAAGGACTCAAAAGTCTCGACTTACTTTCTAACCCAGTAGGCCATAATCAAGTAGGTCATGAGCAAAAGGTGGTGGGTTGGAAGAGAGGGCCATCAGTGCTTTGGGAGACTGAAGTGGGAAGATCACTTGGGGCCAGGTGGTCAAGACCAGCCTGGGCAACACAGGGAGACTCCACCTCTACAAAATTAAAAAAGAAAGAAAAAAAGAGAGGGATATGAGGCGTGTTTGTAAATTCCTCCCTCTCCCTCAGGGCTCCGATCCTCTAGTGGGATCACACCCCATATGGGTGAGAGCAACTCTTCAGGTACATCTAACACTTCCAGAGGCAGAGGGGAAGTCACAGAACAGAAGGGCAGCGTTTCCAGTTTTGAGGTGGCAAGCCCATGCAGCAAAGCCACATGGAAGGAGCACCTACTGTTCTCTCTGCTCTTACCTTTTATTTGGGAAATAATTTGAGAAAGATCAGCTCCAGCATGTCCCAGGTGGACCGAGGGTGGAGAGAATTTGACAGCATTGCAGTTACAAAAAAGCATTTTCTTTTTCTTTTTTCTTTCTTTCTTTCTTTTTTGAGACAGAGTCTCACTCTGTCGCCAGGCTAGAGTGCAACAGCGCAATCTCGGCTCACTGCATCCCCGGCCTCCCAGGTTCAAGCAATTCTCCTGCCTCAAGCCTCCGGATGGTCTTGATTTTCTGACCTCGTGTTCTGCCCGTCTCGGCTTCCCGAAGTGCTGGGATTACAGGCATGAGCCACCGCGCCTGGCCCAAAAAAGCATTTGCTACACTCCATCGCTACAGGAAGAGCACAGCTTCTCTCTTCCTCGCTTCCATGAAGTTCTGGGTCTTAATGGAATCTGATGCTACAGGGGCACAGCCAGCTCCGAGGGCTCCCAAGAGCGGATTGCAGGGCTCCTCCAGGCCCCGCGGGGTTTGGTGAGGTCCTGAGACAGCCTGAAACAGCCCGAAAGAGAGTCTTACTACCCACGCCCTGCTGCACACACGCTTCTGCTTCCGTTCCATATGCTTCCGCTTCCGTTCCATACGCTTTCGTTTCCGTGCCATACACTTCCGCTTCCGTTCCATTCGCGCCCGTAGCCTGGCCTGGCCTCTCAGTGGCTTCTTACCACGAGTAGGGGCCATGTGCTCTCATGAATCTGAGGACTCTCATCTGTGAAATCACACGGATAAACTCATTTGGAGGTCGCCCTCACTAATCTATGAAACGTACCTAGCACAGTACTGGAGAAATAAGGAAGGGTCACTTAGGATTAAGGCCACTTTCCCTTAGGCAGTTGCAAACTGTTTCTGGAGATTTGTAGGGTGCTCTGTTAGCTTTCCCTATGATTTTCAGGCAAGGAGGAAGCAAGCGCATAGGAAGCTCTTGTCTCCAAAACAGAATTGCACGAGGCTTAGCCAAGGGAAGGCCAGAGGCAGCCAAGGGGCCACCGCTGAGGTGCCACTCATGCCACTGTCCCCTCCACCTTCCCACCTGCCACCAAAGCTTGTAACATCTGAATGTTTCTAACCAACTGAAGTCTTTTAACAGAGCTGTAGTTACCAAAGTGTGGGGCAGGTTTTTTCATAAAGGGAGGTTATGAATCAATCTTCAACTCCACTGTATCCTTTAGAGAAGAAAGAAAAAGGTGGGGTGGTGTTGGTGGGTGAGAGAGACGGAGGGAGGGAGGAAGGAAAGAGAAAGGGAGCGCTCCTTTGTTTACTGCTGGCTTCCCTGATGAAATTATGTCTGGGAATGACAGCCTTGAAGGAACATCTGGGGCCCACCATGTGCCTTCTGCTATGCCAGAGAAGAGACGACTTCTAGATATGATTCTAACATGGGAGCACTCTCTAAGCTTACCAAAGGAAGCAGCAGGCTTTTCTAATTTATTGTGCCAGGTGAGAGAATTCAAAGATTCAAAAGAAAGTTTTCATTGCAATGTCAAGGTAGGAGTCCTCAGGACACCCCCCACCCTGAGAAGCACCAGCCCCATCTGCTCTGGGAAGATTCAGTCTGTGGAAAACAAGCTCATTTTTTTTGTGTGCATACACTGTAATGAACAGAACATTTCAAGGACTTTCAAGACATCAGTCAGCTAGATGGGCAAGAACAAAGTTTCATTTGCTAGCCTCAGTCAAGCCACTTACAACTGAGATTCTCCTCCATAGGTATTGATGCTTGCTAACAGTTGGAAGAGTCACTTACAGGAAAGACTGATGGTCAATTAACCTCTGGTGGAAACCAGTGGCTTCAAGTAGAAAACTCACAGCCTTGGCCGGGCATAGTGGCTTATGCTTATAATCCCAGCACATTGGGAGGCCTAGGCAGGTGGATCACAAGGTCAGGAGATCAAGACTATCCTGGCCAACAAGGTGAAACCCCATCTCTACTAAAAATACAAAAATTAGCTGGAAGTGGCGGCACATGCCTGTAATTCCAGCTACTCGGGAGGCTGAGGCAGGTGAATCGCTTGAACCAGGGAGTCAGAGGTTGCAGTGAGCCGAGATCGCGCCACTGCACTCCAGCCAGGAGACAGAGTGAGACTCTGTCACAAAAGAAAAAAAAAAAGAAAAGAAAAATCCCAGCCTCGACCTGGCAATGAATTTACTACCATGGTTTGATCATTTAGAATTTAGTCTCAATAGTCTTGAGAAAATTCTGAAATTATTTCTGTTACTCCTCAATTTCTTTCGTAAGGAAGGGAAGGTGCAAGTTCAGAGTGCCTCCAGGGAATGGGCAATATCATGTATAAACAGATGATTCATAGCCAGAAAAGGCATCAGCATAAAGAGCAAGAACAATATTTTTTCCCTGTGTATACAGAAAAGATGGTTTTGTGTCAAAAGACAGCTGAAAGAAGTGATTTGTTTTCTTTTTGATGACTTAAAAAATGAAATATTTATAGGATTTTTAAAAGCAATCATTTGCTTATTGCCACGAAATTCATTTGGCTGTTATTTTAAATTAAGAAAAAAAGATCTCCAACGTTGATGTGTTAAAAATTGTAACTGTTTATTGGGAGCAGGAGACTAAAAACTCTCATTTTATTGCAGCCTATGACATAAACTCAGTGATTAACCTTTAACAGTGAAACCAGAACATTCCTTCAAAGTTCTAGAATTCACTGATAATCTAAACACTTTCTCCCAATATTCTTTTATTACAGACAATTTCTGGTTCAGTAAAAGTGCACTGTATTACAAGACAACATTCAAAACACTGGGAAGAAATATGCTTTAAACTATTTATCATCCTATGGGGTTTTAATTTTCTGCTGACTGTTACCAGAGAATAGAGAGTCTTCTCACGGGGAAAGCTATTTATGGATGGTTTGTGATTAGGAGCAGCTGCTCTTTACCATATATTACCTTTTGTGATAACCGTATTTTCACACAAAGCTGCCACTAATAAGCTGGTGCACACTAAACAAACTGCAGCAGAACTGTTACCTTGAAAGGAAGATGTCAAATGAAAAGCTCTTCCAGCTTTTCGTATCCTTGAGTTTCTTCATTGTGGGAGAATAATAAATCTGAAAGCCTGTTGCATCTTGGGAATCTAATGTTACTAACAGAAGAATACAGTCAAGTGGTTTCCGTGCAGCTTTCGCTCTGGGTTAAAATGAAAAACATCTTATACGAGAGGTTGAATCTTCATGGGAATTAGAGTTGCTTTTTATTCAACCCATACAACCAGGATGAAAATATATGGGTTATGTTGTAAATGTTTCTCTACCAAGCTGGAGACCAAATCATACTTGCATTGTGCTTGCATACTTGAGAGCAAGAGAGCAGAAAGAATTTTGAATTTCAATATGCTGTTCCTGGCCATCTAGGTGAAAAAGTTTTACAATAAAACAGTAACTTTCAAAATATTTCTGATTAGCAATGACTAATTCAGCGTCCCATGGTAGACTTTTAGAGATGCAAAAGTTAAGAAATCCTCTATCAAAAGAGGTGTTCCCTCTTTTTTTTTTTTTGAGACAGAGTCTCACTCTGTCATCAGGTTGGAGTGCAGTGGCAGGATCTTGGCTCACTGCAACCTCCACCTCCTGGGTTTCAGCGATTCTCCTGCCTCAGCCTCCTGAGTAGCTGGGACTACAGGCGAATGCCACCACACCCAGCTGAATTTTGTATTTTTAGTGGAGATGGAGTTTCCCCATGCTGACCAAGATGGTCTTGATCTCTTGACCTCACAATCTGCCCACCTCGGCCTTCTGTTGTGTTTTATTAAAACTTCATTAGGAGCCATGATACCTTACCTGGTAAAGAACCATGCAGAATGATTTTGCAGATGATACATCAGAATGTAATCCCAAAATCCAAGTCCTACAGGAATGGATACAGCTGTAAAAGTTCCAAAATAAAAGTGACCGTTACGTGTGTTGGAACATAGTTTTAGAATAACTTCTCACCAGGGTGTAACTGGAAACAGCAAACGATCGAGGGTAACGTGACGATGTATTTTAAAGACCTTAAACATGGGGAGAGCGACAGACGTAGCCATTCTAATTCCAGGACACGTTCAGGTTTCTTCAGGGATATTTGTGACGGCCTAAAAATTTACGTCAGAAAATGTTTGAAAATATCCAACAATGAGAAACAGAAGGAAAACGATTTAAGGAAAGCATCACTATGCAGCCATTTGGAGCAATGTGGAAGAATATTTAAAGCCATCCATGAGGAATGTTAAGGATAACTATGGGAAAAAGGCAGGTCACAGAACAGTTTTGACTGCATGGTCTCAATGATTTTAAATAAATAATATATTCCTTTTGTTCAAAGGAAACACAGTGTATAGAAAATGATCATCTTTGGTTGATATCATGATAGTTAATTCTTGTTTGCTTCTTTTCTGCTATTCTGTAATTCTCAGTTTTCCTATAATAAACATATATTAGTTTATAACAAAAAAAATGTTAATATCAGCGAGGCTTTATAAGACCAGCTGTTCCAAATGTTTATCTGTTCTCCACCTATGAATAACTCCCCAATCCTTCACATCATCTGTATAACACTGCCCCGTATTGTTTGCATGTGTGAGTATATTGGAATCTTTCAGGCCATGCGGAATTCAGTGATAAGGTGGCACAAGAGGCCTGCAGTTGAAGACTAGAGACATTTCAGGATAAATTTGTACAGCTGACCCTCAGTATCTCAGGGGGACTCTTTCCAGGACTCCCTGAAAATACCAAAATCCAGTGCTCAAGTCCCTGATATAAATTGGCACCGTCTTCGCATATCACCGACACACATCCTCCCGTCTACTTCAAGTCACCTCTGTTGAACAGATTACTCATAATACATAATACAATATAAATACTATATAAAGAGTTGTTACACTGGGTTGGATTTTTATTTGCATTATTTTTTATTGTTGCATTGTTATTTGTTATTAATACTGATATTCGTATAGCTATGGGTCCTGTATTCTCAATATTTTCAGTCCACACCTGGTTGAATCCACAAATGTGAAGCTGCGGACACAGAGGGCCGATTGTATTATAAGTCTAATATTATGAAAATTTAAAGTTTCACTCAAGTTATTTTTCAAATCTATAAATATGTTCCATCACAAATACTTTTCAAATATCAATTACTTTGTTTAAAAACTACTGATAAGAACACCCCCTAAAAATATGCCAGTACTATATCGGTGATAATGTGGATCTGTGTGACTTTACTGACGGCCAAGATGCGTATAATTCCCTCTACTGCTCTCATCCATATGTGAATGCATGCATTCATTCATTCAATCAGGTATTCAACAAACAGAAAATACAAAGATGACCAAGGCGCAGCCTCTCTGCTCAGAAAGCCCCACACTAACAGGGCAGAAAGACACACAAACAGACTGCTGTGAAACTACATGGAAGGCCACGTTCACCAGCATCCTCCTACCGAAGGTTCTTTCATAAGACATATCCCTTTAGAAAAGAGAATGTTTTAATGATCGCCATTCTAACTGGCGTGAGATGGTTTCTCAATGTGGTTTTGATTTGCATCTCTCTGATGACCAGTGACAATGAGCATTTTTTCATATGATTGTTGGCCTCATATATGTCTTCTTTCGTAAAGTGTCTGTTCATATCCTTTGCCCACTTTTGAATGGGCTTGTTTGTTTTTTTCCTGTAAATCTGTTTGAGTTCTTTGTAAATTCTGGATATCAGCCCTTTGTCAGATGGGTAAACTGCAAAAATTGTTAGAATGGCGATCATTAAAAAATCTGGAGACAACAGATGCTGGAGAGGACGTGGAGAAAAAGGAACACTTTTACACTGTTGGTGGGAGTGTAAATTAGTTCAACCATTGTGGAAGACAGTGTGGCAATTCCTCAAGGCCTTAGAAATAGAAATTCCATTTGACCCAGCAATCCCATTACTGGGTATATATCCAAAGGACTATACATTGTTCTACTATAAGGACACATGCACACGAATGTTCATTGCAGCACTGTTTACAATAGCAAAGACCTGGAATCAACCCAAATGCCCATTGATGATAGACTGGATTGGGAAAATGTGTCACATATACACCATGGAATATTATGCAGCAATCAGAGATGATGAGTTTGTGTCGTTTGTAGGGACATGGATGAATCTGGAGAACATCATTCTCAGCAAACTGACACAAGAACAGAAAATGAAACACCGCATATTCTCACTCATAGGCGGGTGATGAACAATGAGAACACATGGACACAGGGAGGGGAGTACTAAACACTGGGGTCTATTGGGGGGAATACGGGAGGGCCAGCGGGAGGGGGAGCTGGGGAGGGATAGCCTGGGGAGAAATGCCAAATGTGGGTGAAGGGGAGAAAGGAAGCAAAACACACTGCCATGTGTGTACCTATGCAACTGTCTTGCATGTTCTGCACATGTACCCCTAAACATAAAATGCAATAATAAATTTTTTAAAAAAAGAAAAAAAAAAGGGAATGTTTTGAGACAGTTACTGGTTTTTCTCCTGTACAAGAGACAGAATTGATGGACAGAGAATAGAAAAGTGGTTGCAGATAAATTCACCCACTTCCCATGTTTGTGAGGGGGTAGCTTTGGCCATGGTACCTTCCTAGAGAAGGTACATGTCGAAGAATGAACATGACATTGAAGCCAGAAGCAACCATTCCCGGGGTCTGTGCTGGTAGAGGGGAGTGGCGGGGCCAGCATGTTATCCATCTGGAGTACAAACCTTAACACCTCTAGATGGTCACCACAGTTACCTAAGAGTGAAGTTGTCGGTTTAAATAGGTGACTTGTAATTGTGGAAACGTTTTTTGTTTTTAAGATTGCAGGTCTTTGGAGAATGTCAGTGGCTGTGCAGAATATCTCTATGGGAGGATCTTCGATCTCAGCCCTCCCTGCCCGTCCGCGACACGACTTTGTGTCTCACTTTTTAGAATTACATCTGAGACGGCGGGAAAAAAGTGAAAAGCTGACCAAGCTTTAAGCTACTTCTTTTCTGAAAAAGGGACAGGGCAGGGAAAACAGACTCAGTCTTAGGGAACATTGTCAAAATATGCATGCCTGGGCCCCGCTGTGGACTTCCTGAATCAGAATCTTGAGAGGACGAGGGACTCCTTGGAGGCCAACCATGAATACTTTGGAAACGTTTCTCCAGTGACTGATTCACGCCCCCGCGCCAGGCTCTGATGAGAACAATTGCTCTGGACGTGCCCCCTGCATACATCTTCACCTAAAAGTCTGTACTCCGAAGATTGAGGCATGACAAGTAATCCCCAACAGTGAGCTCGAAGGGCCAAGGGGATGCATACAAGCGCCTCTTCTCTAGGGTCTTCAAGCTTGGACAAATATCTTACAGCCCAGGTCCATGAACCCTAAAGCCTGAACAGGCACCACTAGGGCCAGTGGGGGCAGGAAAGGCTGTTCCAGTTCTGTCCAGGGTCTTTGAAGTGATGGAGGCAGTGAAGAGCCTGAGCAGAGGCCTGGTTGGGACACGGGGATGCCAGCCTTGGGGGATAGTGTGGAGCCAGCATAGCGGGACTGGGGCCAGGGGTCTTATAAGCCTTAGTAAAGACCTGGGTCTAATTTACTTAACTTTGGCCACCAAAAAGATCCAAGCTGGGGAGTAACACAGTTAGACTTGGATTTTAGAAAGGTATCTCCAGCGTCAGCGTGGTAAGAATGAGGCATGAAATCAAAGAGGAGGCCACTGAAATAATCAGGGGAGACCTAAGGGTGAGCTGAACTAGCATGAGGATGGTGTTGGCGGTGGAGCTGGAGGTAAGTGGGCTGATTCAGGAGACTTTCTGGAAATAAACAAAGACAATCTGGTGATGGATCCCACGTGGGATACAAGGGAGCAATGGGGGACCAGGGAGCACTCCTGAGTTCGTGGCTTTAGCAAGTGAGTGGCTAATCAGATCCTCTGGCGAGATTGGGGACGCAAAAAGGAAAACCAAGTTATGATGGGAAAGATGCAAGTTTCGCTGGAAATATTGGCTGTGAAGGAATAGAGCTGTCCAATATGATCTCAGAGGGGAAGCGTGGGCCGGAGGTTTAGATGCCAGATTCCTTTACATGAAACTTCTAGTGCCAGGCACGGTGGCTTACGCCTGTAATCCCAGGTCTTAGGGAGGCAGAGGCAGGAGGATAGCTTAAGGCCAGGAGTTTCAGACCTGCCTGGGCGATACAACGAGACCCGGTTCTCCACAAAAAGAAAAAAAAAAAAAAAAGAAAAGAAAATTCAAGTAGCGGCTCGGGAACAAGAAGCAAAAGGGCCCTAAAATCCTCAAGTAACACCATCATTCAAGGGGGGGAGAGGCCCTTAGAAGGAAGAGCCAGAAAAGTAAGAGAGAAAATCAGAAAAGTGTGATTTTGAGGTTCAGATTCTAAGGCTGCTATGTAACCATGCCAAAACACGCATACAACATGGTAAGATCAGGGCGTCTTAGAAAGACTCAGGACTGTGGTGTAGTGACTTCGCCCAAAACAGAAGTCTTAAAAATACAGTTTTCTCTGCCCAAGTGCGAGTACCTTACTTTGTGAAGGATACTTTGAAACCCACCAATAAGACTGCAAGGGGTGGGCTGTCAGAATTAGTTCCGAGTAAACATAAGAAGGAGGCCGGGCGCGGTGGCTCACGCCTGTAATCCCAGCACTTTGGGAGACTGAGGCGGGTGGATCATGAGGTCAAGAGATCTAGACCATCCTGGTCAACATGGTGAAACCCCATCTCTACTAAAAATACAAAAATTAGCTGGGCATGGTGGCGTGTGCCTGTAATCCCAGCTACCCAGGAGGCTGAGGCAGGAGAATTGCCTGAACCCAGGAGGCGGAGGTTGTGGTGAGCCGAGATCGTGCCATTACACTCCAGCCTGGGTAACAAGAGCGAAACTCCATCTCAAAAAAAAAAAGAAGGAAAGCCAGCTTGTCAGCATCAGACCAGCAATACCCACCAGAGCCAGCCACTGCCAGGCATTATGAGGTCATGGGACTGAAAGACATTCCTCACTTCGGGACTCTGAAATCCAACTGGGGACACACAACATATCCATGGGGAAATCAAACAACACAAGAGTGCTAAAATGACTAGAGGGACCAGAGGCTGAGGTGGGAGGATGGCCGCAGCCCAGGAGTTGAGGGTGCAGTGAGCTGTGATAAGGCCAGTGCACTCCTGCCTGGGTGACAGAGTGAGACTCTGCCTCTATATAAAGAAAGAAAGAAAAAGAAAGAGGAAGGAAGGAAGGGAGGGAGGGAAGGGGAGGAGGATGGAAGGGGGGAAGGTAGAGGGAGGGAAGGAAGGAAGGAGGGAGGGAAGGAAGGAAGGAAGGAAGGAAGGAAGGAAGGAAGGAAGGAAGGAAGGAAGGAAGGGGGAAGGTGGAAGGAAGGAAGGAAAAAAGGAAGGAGGAAAGAAGGAGGGAAGGAAGGAAAGAAGGAAGGAAAAGGTAAGGAAGGTAGGAAAGGAAAGAGGAAAGGAGGGAGGGAAGGAGGGAGGGAAGGAAAGAATGACTGGAGGGAAACGAGCCAAGTCAGAGGGTTTCCTATTGAAGTAGGAATTGTAATTGAAAGCTGGGGCTTAGGGTAGTGGCTCCATTTGCAGACAAGGCACGAAGCAATAACATGTAACAAACCTCTACCACGTCAGCTTCCAACGCTCATCTTTCATGTTCTGTAACAAAACTGTGCTGGAAAAATTATATTTGTGATGTTAACCCCCTTCCCCCTCATATACACATATGGCATTTATGACGCTGAACATCAATTCGAGAGGAAGATCCATGATATGCACTCTGCCTCGCAAGTGTTGTCTTTGCTGCTCCTGAGTGTAAGCCCTTGCTATCCATGCCTGGAATGCTCTCGAGATTCCTTTGTTTTTACCAATATCCCACCCAGTTTAAAGGCCCAGCTTCGACTCCAGTAACAAAATATTGCAAAGTGAGCTCTGTCTCCCCCGAATCTGCACAACAGCACAGTGCGGTTTGGCACCTTACCTGACACGCATTGTTCTCACGGCTCTCATTTAACCCTCACAGAAGTGACTGTGAGGTGGGAAAAGGCAGGATCCATCCCTCCTGGGGTAAGTCAATAACACCGAGCCTCGGAGGCCAGAGGAGTCGCGCTGGCTGCCAAATCCTGGAGCTGGTGAGCAGGCGGAATGGCTCCACAACCCATTCCCCGGTATCCGGAGAACAGGGCAGCATGGGCACATCCCTGCTTTTCCATGCGCAGGTGTGACCTGCCCTTCTGAATCCCCTAGAAGGCAATGATCACGTCTTTTACTTTTGTGTCCCTAGAACTTGAGGGATGCTCAGAAGCGAGAAGGAAAGCACTGAATATTTGCTACTTAAACCGTGCACTGAATCAACATTCATATCCAAACGACATCAGAATGCGCGCAGGTGCACTTGTATGTAATCCTTCTATTGATTTGGGTTCCTTCCTCAAACAGCGCATTATTAATTTCTGAATCTGGAAAAGCAATGCTCAAGGCACTATCAAATTTAAACCTCACTTATTCATATACCTTTGCAAAAACCCAAGACCCTAAATTTTTTGAAAAGCATTCCCCAAAATGAACTACCTTTTTGGGGTGATTTTTTAAAGTCTGTGATTTAGATCCCCCCCTTTTTTTTTTTTTTACAAATTATGATAAAGATGCATTAAGTACAACATTTATTCACAAGCCCTAGATATCTAGGCTTATAGGAAGTGTCTGAAGACTCTCACTTGGATTTTGAGGGGAAGTGAGTTAGTTGTGACAAACCATTTGAGAAGAACAGCTAAATTCTCAAGTAAGGATTAAGGAGACTAAGCCAGGCACAGTAGCACATGCTGCAGTCTCAGCTACTGGGGAGGTCAAGTCGGGAGGATTGCTTCAGCCCAGGAGTTGAGCCCAGCCTGGGCAACATAGCAAGAACTCATCTCTACTCAAAAACAACAATCAAAACTAATAGACAGCAGCTTACAGCGGCAAAAAAATAATTCATTTGTCTTTGCTACATGATGGCTTTTGCTCTGTGCCTAGAGGAAGAAATGACACTTAATCTTCACTCCTGACTTCTGATGGGTTTTTTTACTTTTTTTTTTTTTTTTTTTTTTTGATGGAGTTTCGCTCTGTTACCAGGCTAGAGTGTAGTGGCACAATCTCAGCTCACTGCAACCTCCACTTCCTGGGTTCAAGCAATTCTCCTGCCTCAGCCTCCCGAGTAGCTGGGACTACAGGCAGGCACCACTACGCCCAGCTAATTTTTGTAGTTTTAGTAGAGATGTAGTTCCACCATGTTGGCCGGATGGTCTCGCTCTCTTGACCTTGTGATCCGCCCACCTTGGCCTCCCAAAGTGTTGGGATTACAGGCATGAGCCACGGCAAGCTTCTGGGTTTTCCCCTCTTAATCCTACTTCATAGTAAGAAATTCTGGATTGCACTTTATTGAGACCAGGACAATATTTTTGCTCTGGCTAACAAGAAGCACATTGATTTACAACTGAAAATAATTAACAAGACTTTTTATACTTACGAGAAATCTGGAAGCTTCAAAATTCAGCCTCAGTCAGAGTAAAGTGGTCGGAAGATGCTGGGGAGAAAGGAAGCACTTGCTAGCCAGAAGACAGCTGAGCTTGAGCGCGTCGAAAGAGGGGAGGGGTGGAAGTCCTGCTCTATGACCTCCTGTTTTGTTTATTGTCTTTTCTTTCTTTCCTTCTTTTTTTTTTTTGAGACAGAATCTTGCTCTGTCACCCAGACTGGAGTGCAGTGGTGTGATCTTGGCTCACTACAACCTCCACCACCTGGGTTCAAGTGATTCTCCTGCCTCAGCTTCCCAAGTAGCGATTACAGGCGTGTGCCACCACACCCCGATAATTTTTGTATTTTTAGTGGAAACAAGGTTTTACCATGTTGGACAGGTTGCTCTTGAACGCCTGACCTCAAGTGATCCACTTGCCTCAGCCTCCCAAAGTGCTGGGATTACAGGCGTGGGCCACTGCACCCCAGCCCCTTCTGTTTATTGTATTCTTAAACATTTCATCTTTTTGATAAGCAGTTTTCTGACTTTAGAATAATATGTGCTTAGTGTAGAAAAATTGGGACACACCGATAACTAAAATTAAGATGCGTATTTTAATAGAGGCAAGACTTTCAAGAAGTACTGATTTGGAAGCCCCGGTTCAATTTACCTGTCAGGTTGTGTCTCCCAGTGGGGACTTTGTAGTCATTCAGTTCGTCCTGAGCTGCAGCCCAGCCCAGCTTGTCTGAACGCTGGCGCCACAAGGAACAACTTCATTTTAGAAACTTCTGTCAAATACACCCCAAACACCTCAAGTAAACCAGAGGCTTGGGAAGTGTCTGGTATTACATCAGTCAACCGGAACAAGACAGGCAGAGATGCCGGCTTTTTTTTTTTTTTTTCCTAGTGTGAATATTTAGGAGTGGCGGTAAGCAGTTTGCTAGTATTACATTATAGTAGACCTCCCTAGCGAAGCCTTACAGGTAGCCGTATTACGGCTACAAAATGAATAACAGTTTGGGAAACTGCTCTAGGAAGATACGAAAACGGTTATCAAGAAATCAGATTCGTGGACTTGTTCTCAAAGTATACAGGACAGGGGAGAGAAATGAGAACATCAAAATGAAAAATTAGCCCCAGGGAAGATCCCACAGATGCAAAGAGAAGGAGCAGGAGGTTCAGGGGAGGAAATGACAAGCAACCCAAAGGAAACCATCTGGCCAAAATGGGGCAGGCAGTGGGGGAAACTTAGGAGAGAGAAAATAAATTTTTGTTATACTTTTTTTTTTTTTTTTTTTGAGACGGAGTTTCGCTCTTGTTACCCAGGCTGGAGTGCAATGGCGCGATCTCGGCTCACTGCAACCTCCGCCTCCTGGGTTCAGGCAATTCTCATGCCTCAGCCTCCTGAGTAGCTGGGATTACAGGCACGCGCCACCATGCCCAGCTCATTTTTTGTATTTTTAGTAGAGACGGGGTTTCACCATGTTGACCAGGATGTTCTCGATCTCTTGACTTCGTGATCCACCCACCTCAGCCTCCCAAAATGCTGGGATTACAGGCGTGAGCCACCGTGCCCAGCCTGTTATACTTTTATGGAAAGTTTGCATAAATGATATTCAGCTGTCTTTAGATTTAAGATACGATTGAAAGGAAACACACTGTGACTGTGGCCATACATTCTCTAACACTTTGGGAAGACCACCCCCTCGAATGCAGGCCCACAGAGCACCTGACATCAGTGTCATATTTTCCCCACAAATGGGCTGCCCATTCCATTCCACGGCACAAGGTTCAGCTTCTCCTGAGCTGCCTGCCTGGTGGCTTCTCCCACCTCTTTTAACTTCTCTCCCACCTCGCGCTGCACACGTAGGTTGAGGGGTGCCATGGAGAAGCACAGCGGCTCCATCACAACCCCAAGAGCAAAGGGCCGGGTTCTGCAGCACGGTGCTTGCAACAGGAAGGGCTGGAAGCTTCCCGCTCAGCTTCTCATCTTATAACTTCTTGACATTTCAAAAGCCAAAGCTTAGCTCCTGTTCCTGGTGTTCTGTGGCTTTGGTTTGTGTTGGGGTTTTTTGATGATCAGGTAGATGCATGGAAGCAAAAAGGATGCAGCAGCTGGGAGCACATTCCCAAAAGCTTTCTTAGTGAGAAGCAGCCCCACCCACAGCATGCAACCTTTTTGAAATCCTGTTTGAAGCCATCACAACCAGCCCATTTCTTGCTGAAGATTTCAAAGCTCATAAGGGCCACCTAGAAACACTGACAAGCAGAGGTCCCTTCCCCCAGAAAATGAGGAAATAATATTAAAGTGGAGTAAATTGTTTAGCTGAGGGCAGGGTCTTGGGCAGAGTCTGTCTTTAAAGCAAAACACGAGAACACAGGGTTGGAGTTGACGAATGCTGTACTGTGAGAGAGAAAGAGAAGCCCATCTTCCCATCAGGGCGTGGAAGTGAAGGGCACTCAGACAAGCACTTGTGAAAGAGATGGCGTTGGATCTAGACCTTGAACTATGGTAAAAATTTAGATACTCAGAGATTCGCAGTGGGGAGAAGGAAGTAGCAGCTCACCAGACATTTATTCAATGCTGCCAAGTCAACATCGCTTCTTTCCAAGCTCTAACAGTGCAACATAAGGAAGCACACATCTTAAACAAAATTAATAGTGCCCCTCTTCCCTCTGAAACTTACATTCTTTAGGACCTAGGACCTACTGGGACCAAACAAGCTCACTAATACGTTTATAATTTTCACTGCACTATCACATGAAGTAAGCCACCTGCTAGAATAAGTTGAGAAACACTTTCACTTTTTCCCCTATTTCCATATTTACCCAATCAGTTTTAGAAAATGCAATGGACAGCCTACTATACATGTATACTGCAATTGAGCAATCCAGTAAAGGGAGGGCAGGTGCTGAGAGCCAGGTTTCTCACGTCGGAGTGAGAAGTTACAGGTGAGCAGGAAAGGAGGCTAGAATAATCCGTGTGATGATGCATTAGAGTTGGAGACAGCAGCATGAAACTTAGCTTAATGGAAGTACAGGTATGTTTATATGCACAGGATAGTGTACACACGTGTACCTCCTTGCTCTGTCAGCTGAGAAGACCTAAAAGTAACGTATCCCCAGTAGCAATGCACACATCCAGCACCTAGATGGTGGTTTCTAATACCATTCTCCAATGAAAGACACCAGCGTTCTTTGGAGAAATGACTCATTCCAAGACGGGGACAGGAAATATACAAAATGAGCCTATAGCTTCATATAGTACTGGAGTTAAGAAGGTGCTCGAAAGCATGTGGGCACACCGCAACGATGCGGCTACATCAAACAGATACGAGAGCCAAATTAAAGAGCTCTCAGTGCAACAGCTGGAAAAGTTTGAGCAATAAAATAAAGTGGTCATAGACTATCACCCAAAGTATAATGTAAATATCCACAAAGGTATACTGCTAAGAATGATCGAATAAACAAATAAGTGGCAAAGAAGAGACGAATCTTCTGTACAGAAGAATTCCATCGTGTTTATTTAGATACTCTGCCCTTACGGAAGTGGCGTTCAACTCTGCTCCTTAAGCTGCACATGGTGACTTCCTGCCAAAGGGTACGGTATAGAACGAGAGGACAAAAGAGTAACCTCACAGTGCAGAGACCCGACAACCACTAGCCCCAGCCAGATGATCAAGGTTAACATCAACAGTGGTAATAAGTCATAATGAATAGGATGGACTCTTGATCTGATGCGAATGGAACTTCATCCCTGTGGTACTCCTCCCCAAAACACATAATGCTGGCCTACGCATGACAAAAGTATAAGTCATACTCAAACTGGGGACACTCTACAAAATCCAAGACACGTAATTCTCAAAACGGTCAAGGGCATCAAAAACAGAGTGTAAGAAATCGTCACAGACCAAGAAGACTGAGGAGGCATGACAGCTGACTGTAACACGGCATCCTGCTCGGCTCCGGGACAACCACCACAGAAAGTGACGGTAGAGACGAACGGAAACTTTGAATACAAGGCGAACTTGACAACAATAATGGAACAACACTGGTTCATTAATTGTGACTAAGGAACTGTATTAACGCGAAGAGTTAATTACAAGGGAAGTTGGATATAGGGCATATGAGAACTCTCTGTACCTTGATAATAATTCTGGAAATCCAAAAATAAAAGATTTATTTTTAAAATGCAATGGAAATGCTTTCCTCTCAAAACCTGCAAAATATGCCAACTGCTGAAGTCTCAAAGCAAGTCTTCCTAACGCACTCGTCCTTCCACCAGCTGGCTAGGGCGAGAGTCAACTGTAAAAGATACATTCTAGTATGCTCACTTGTCTGACTTCTTAGGGGCCATGTGGAGCCCCCAATCCACCTAATGAAGTTCGCTTCAAATCAAGAGACAAGACATGGAAGGGAAAGAAATGTAGAAATGACAATTTCTGTTTCCAAGCTCACTGCTCTATTCCAGAGAATCTTAACACTTTCCTGCACTGAATACTGATCCTTTGACATTCAGCACAGATGTCCTCTCATGAAAAGAGGGGCAAAAGCTGTCTTCTCCAACCCACTTCAGCTTTGTTAGTTACCTGTCTCACTTGTTTTATCAACAGTGACATACAATGTGAAGCTGCACTGTGTCGAATGGACCTTCTGATCACTGAATCACTGAGCTTTTACTAACTTTAAAGGAGGGGTTTGGCCAGGCGCAGTGGCTCACGCCTGTAATCCCAGAACTTTGGTAGGCCAAGGTGGGTGGATCACCTGAGGTCAGGAGTTCGAGACCAGCCTGGCCAACATGGTAAAACTCTGTCTCTACTAAAAATAATTAGCCGGGCGTGGTGGCAGGTGCCTGTAATCCCAGCTACTCCAGGGGCTGAGCCATAAGAAGTGTTGGAACCTGGGAGGCAGAGGTTGCAGTGAGCCAAGATCATGCCACTATACTCTAGCCTGGGTGACAGAGCAAGATCTGTCTCAAAAAAAAAAAAAAAAATCAGTGCAATAATCATGTATACCTCATAGTGTGTGGCACAGAAAAAAAAAATGCTCAAGCAAGTTAACTGTTAAAAAAAGGTGTCTTTCAGGGGGAAAAAGCTTTTCCCACTATATGGTATATTGCATAGTAAAGAATGGCAGGCACTGGCTTGAAGCATAGATATAAGAAGGTTACAAAATAATTTCCCAAGGTAAGTTCTTAAAAGGGAGTTACATGGACATAAAAAAATATCCTTTTGCATGATATCTCCTTTTGTTTCATTGCCATTTTTGGACTATAAGAATACAGGCACCTTTGGTCTAATGCAATATGTATCCATCCATCCATCCATCCATCCACCCATCCATTCATAAATCCATCCATCCATCCATTCATAAATCCATCCATTCATCCATCCATTCACAAATCCATCCATCTGTCCATCCATCCATCCATTCATAAATCCATCCATCTGTCCATCCATCCATCCATCCATCCGCCCATCCACACATGCATATCTGCAAGTTACCATTTATTTATCAGGCCTCTGATGACTTAGCTGGTGGCAGATATCTACACAAGTGGTGGAGAACCAAAAGCTCTTAGAGCAAAGGTGAGACTGGAAATGAGATTGAGGGATGACAGTGGTCTGTGGACACAAGGAGGGTAAGACAATATAAATGCGAACTTGAAAATACTAGTAATCAATTGTGGTTGTCAATAACGGAGAGCAAGAGTGAGTTCAAATATTATAGCATAACAACAAACAAACAAAAATCACTGCTATCATGCAAAGTGAGCAGGATTGAAGTAAAATAAACTCAAGGTGATAGAAAATAAAATAATGCATGGAATTTTACAACAAAGGAAGAGAAACAAGGGAAACATGAAGGAAAGTGGCCTGGGAGGAATTTATCTGATGGAATTTGGGGGCTGAAGTCCAGCAGCCTCTTCAGCCTCTCTTGAGCACAGGTGCCTTGGTTTTTCCTGAAATTCCTGTATGGAGCAATGTGCTGTGCATTTACATTAATCACACCTATGATTAGCCATTTGCTTGACAGGAAAGGTCTGGAGCCACCGAGCCTGAAGAACTCCCACAGTAGGGATAATATCTTACAGTTAAATGAATTGTTAAGGTCAGTTGAATAACTTCTTTTCATTACTCAGTGGTTCTCGATTTCATAGCCACTACCAGGGAAGGAGGCAAGTATGGAGTACTCTGCTTGAGTTTTCTCTAAGGAGGGGGAGAAAACCCACCACTCTAAATACTAAAAATAACCTAAACCACACCATTTCCTTTGGAAGGACAACATGTTTATGAACTGTGACCATTCTCTCCAAGGAATCAGAATCCTGCCTTCCCCCTTCTTCCTAAGTCCCCATGTTTCCTCTGTTCACTAGATCATTCTGAAAAGAACACACAATTGCCTTTCCTCGGCCACAGCTGCTTTTGGTCCTAAAGTAAGACTCACAATATACTCCCAGTATTTTTGTTCTCCCTGACTTCACGCCTGAAGAAGGAAATGTCTGTGCGCAGGCAGTTGAGAACACGGAGGAACTTCCAACATGACTTGTTCTTCAAAGTGGTCACCTTAGGGTCTCCAGACACGTATCCAGACACACAGTCACGATTCGCAACAGTCTTTGGAAGTCTGCTTTGGATATTGCTTTTATGAGAAAATCAGGCTCAACGTTACGGCTAAAAATACTATTTCCTAGCTTCATCATGAGTGGGACAGCAAATCCCTTAGGTTTGAAAAGTCCATTCTCTACGGGCAAAGATTTCCCACAGTGAAGAGAATATATGACAGCTCAAGACAAACATGGAGAATTCCGAACTTGTGCAGGTGACTCACTGGAATGTGCGAGCACCCTCCTGGTGTTTCCTGGGGAGAGAATCCCAGCCACCTGGGAACAAAGCTGAGATATGAGTGCTTGTGAAAAGGAAACCCCAGACCTGATCACATCACTTTTTAATTTCATATGGAAAATGTAGCTCTATGCATCTCTAACTCTCACTCTGTTTTAAATTCAGTCACCTAAAAATGTGATTTCCCCCCCCCAACATTCATGGAAAAAGAATTTTCATCAGAAATTTTCATTTTGTTATTTTAACTTGAAAGCTCTAATAATATTATGTAATAATGATGTTATAAAATTCTATTAATTGAAGAGAGAAATAAATTGACCTCACATAAAACATTTTCTCTCAAGTACCAAAAAAATCCACTTACGACATATAACCAAATGTTATTTAATATCTTAAAAAGTAACACAATCCAAAATGGATATTTCACACAACACTACATAAACAACATGAACACAATATCACCATATGGAGGGACTTTCAAATATAGACTTACAAAAATCCCTGTCCTTTTTTTCTTTTAAGTTATTATACTAAGCATGACAAGTCATCATCATTTACAGTATGGTACACTGACACGATAGAAACCATGTTACAAATGTGCTGTTATAAATCAGTAACATTAGGGAAGACATTTCATGAACTGTAATTATTTCATATGAAATACTATACAATATAAACAGAACATCCATCTTGGATGACCTTTACAGCAACCAGAGACCAAGTAATTTAAAGTTTTTTTTCAGTGCAAACACATTTTATTCAAGGCAGTCTTGGCTGCAAAACTCCTTTCTAACATACAGTAAATCCCACTTGCACTTTCTGAATTCATTTACCCTAATGCAATAGTCACATTCAGCCACTCAGAGAAAGATACCTGCAGAATTATGATTCCTTTAAACGTGACGTTTAAATTTAATTCTCTTCTAGAACATAGTATCTGTGTCAACTGCTCTAAGGACTTTAATTTCTAGCTGTTGATACTTCCATGAAGGTGACCCTAGGGCAGCTCTATTCCTAACCCAGCAAGTGTGCACGATACTGCACAGTGTTCTGCCCTTCCAATGTGGAAACCGTGGCGGTATGTCAGTATCTAGGTGGGAGAATGGAAAGGAGTACGTTGGCAGAAAGGAAGCGGAGGAGCTGCTGCGTGTGTACTGCATGATTAATTCCCCCGAACTGCAGAGGACAGATACTGGAGATCTCAGGTCTCACATTTGGTACCTCTTCTTGGTGGGAGCAAGGGAACCGTTTTACTAAAGTCAGCCTTAGAACAAGGAGGCAGGCAACTGTACATGGACCAACCAAGCTTCTAACCTTACATTTCCAACCTTCCAGAATCATTGCTGCCTGACTTGAAACACCCCATTCCCTCCTTGGCATGGTGTGTGTGTGTGTGTGTGTGTGTGTGTGCGCGTGCGTGTCTGTTCACATTTGAAGCCAACAATTAACAATTAAAGCCCTATAACTGATCATGTACAATCATAAGAAGCAAGTTTAGTTCCCCCTTGGGTCTGGTAGAATTCTGAATCTTGTGAATCATCAACTGTAAGTCATAGAACAACTGTAAAAACACAGGATTGTGTGTTAGGGGAGCCATCACTGGGGCTACTGCAGCAAAAGATGCAGAGTATTAACTCAACAGGAAGGTGCCAATGTCTGTCTGAAACACACAAGGAAATTTAGTAATGACTGTTTTCATGTACGTAATTTACAAAACGGCTCCTGAATAAAAATCTGTGGGAAACTACTGGATGTATCCTTAATACCGTAAGACCTTCTGGGAGAGGAATGGGGTGATGGCTGATGCTTTTATCTTACTTGGCAAAGCTCAGACGGACAGTAATCTCTTTCCTGCCCACATTTTACTAACCCCAAGGAAAACAACGTTTTCCATGGCTTTTGCATTCGTGTTGCCTGTGTTCTAGCTCCCCCAAGCCCTAAACATGTGCAGAAAAGTCACTCACTACCAGAGGAGCCCTGGATGACATTGACAGTGGGCAGGATGGTCCTGGAGGCGAGGGGGAAAGGAGAGGTCGCTCCTGCTTGGGCCCACCAAGGTTGATAGCACATGGCTAGTTGGTTCTGTGACTGGCCTGTGGTGATGGAGTAGATCCCCGTCAAATATCATCTACCTCCTAATTCAAGAAAATACTTAGAACTGGATCAGCTCCCTCAGAAATCCAGCTCCTCCAAAGTAGGACTCGATATATTGTACTGAATTTCTAGGGTGCTAAGGAGCACTGTGATGAGTACTTGATAACGTTTTTAATTAAAATTTCCGTGTCAGCACCTTCCACTTCCAGGAGCAGTCATGTTCCTGAAAGATGGTGCTTTAGCACGGGAACTATAGAAACCCAATATGAAACTGTAAACAAGCCTGTACGTCCAGATCTGCTCTGACCGCAATGGCATTGGGTGGATCTGTCAATCTCCCGCTTCATCCATCAGTACCAGTAAGGTGTGCTGAGGTGTCAAATTCCAAACACCCCGAATTTTTTTTTTAATGAAAATGGACAAAAGTGTCAAGTTGTATTTGTTTTCTTTGAGTTTATTAGCACACATCAGAAAAATAGCATTGTATTTAGTGAGTTCTCATGATGGTCTATCAAACAGATAGAAAATAGATCGTCAGTAGCTGCCACTGTGCTTCTGGGTAGTCTTAAGTCACTCCTTTTGTTTGTTCAAGTATGGGTATTACAAAGATGACCTGTCTTGTCAATTGTTTGCAAATCTGAATGCTTTGGAAGCATCTTGAGATCCCAAAGTGAGCCGTGCAAAGTTACTATCGGTTGTCGTTGGTTTTTAAATCAAGCTCCAAATACTGCCCATGGTATAAATGGTGAGACTTTCAAAACACGACCACTATCGTATTGTGAGCAATATGTTTGCAATTTAAGTTAAAAACTTTATTTTCAAGTACACTTGGTGGTGATAAGTGGCTTGTCCTGGGTAGAATTTTGCAAGGCTGCCAACCTAAAAAAGGAACAATGCTTCTGCTTCCACTGAACGGGTTTCTTCTCCCCATGGTGACTGCAATATAATTTAAATTTACATTTTAGAAATGCTGGTTGGGTTATGAAAAAGAGGGACCTGGGAACAGCTGCTGTTCAGATCACTGTTACTCTAGATTAACTCTGAATTGACGCTTCCTGAACTTGACCTCCACAACATCAGAGAAGCAGTACCTTGTTATTTTTATGCAGCTAGTCTCCATTCACCTCTTCTATTTCTCTATTTGATGGCATCCCCACTTTCATATGCTCATTATGGCCCCCTGAGATGTGCAAAATATATATAATGGAATACAAATCATTTAACAGAAGTTGTGGAATTCACAGCACAGCTCTTTTAATTACAGTGGAGTTTGGGCTCCACATGGTAGCATGCGGGTGAAGGCAGAGCCCACAGTGCTTCGAGGTTGGCAGTCCACATTGCTTGTGTGTCTTCTGTTACTGAAAACTGAGACTTCAAACCAGATTTCCAAAGAAGTAAATAGCTCGCTCAATTACGTTCACCCATTGGCTCTTCGCCAGAGAACTTTTAACAGGAATGGGTGGGGGGTGGGGGTGGGCACAAGAATTTTTAAACTTCGGTTCCTTCCTAACAAAATCGAGTGCGCTTTCGTGGGGAAGAGAGGAGAAGACAGGATTACATCTGAAAGCCAAACGATGGCGTAAGAGAAAGCGATGGCGCTGGAGAAGTCACGAGTCCACAGAGGCAGTCACCGACACACACAGAACGCCATGGCCTAATGCTGAAGAGAGTGTTCAACTTTGCTCTTCGGAATGATACACTTTAACACACGGCTGCCATTTCATCAAATTTATGGAGGTAGTTATATGTAAAAATAAAAATTACCATAAAATAATATGTCGTATCATAATAATACATAAGTGTGCAAAATGCCGACAGATGTGTTGACCCTTTCACAGAGTTTCAACCAGATTCAGTTTTGTAAACCTTTCAGTTGCTAAACCCTAAGACGGGACAAGCAGTCGTGTAACACAAAGCTATGATTTCACTGGAGGAAAAGCGTACTGGCAACGCCGGGCGAGGACCCCACCATCCGGACTGAGAGCCTCACTGGGACCTTGGATGACATGTGTACTGTGACGCCGGCTGCCACTCCTCCCCCATTCAAGAGTCTTGATCAGATTCAGACAAGAATATTTTTATATGCAACGTCTGCTTACATGGTGTCATCTTTAAAGTCCATCATTTCTACACAAATGGCTGCTGGTCTAAGGGAGTTTTTAAAAAGTCATGTACCCCATAGCATCAGGCAAACAGTGTACATTTTTATTTGAATGTCTTCTGTAAACCTATATCTTGTGAAATATCAATAAATTCCTATTTTAAAGCTTCTCTTAAAGGTAATGCTTTCCTTTCCTGTTCACACAGCATTCGATTATTTCAATGGCTACTTTCAGAGGATCAACTAGAGGCTGATGGATTGTTTCAATGGTTCTATTACTTATGAACTAAGTAGAAGAAAAATTTGAGAGCGGGGTTTTGGAAAAAATGAATTTAGACAAAAATTGAGTAACCGTATGATATATAACTCTCCAAGGGAACAGACTATGTCGTCTATTAGATACAGATCATTCCTTCTGGACATAGTTAAGCCGTGAGACAAACAATGGTCAAGGCATGTCTTGGAGGAAATACGGCATGAGACTGAAAGCCAAGAGGCGTAAGCATGTCAACGGTACGGGAGTTTACTACGAAACGTGCTGAAGTTTCACTACGATAAGCACAAGACGGGAATTTATACCAAACTCAGGGAGTCCAGTTTGACCCAATGCAACTTCCAAATAACTGAAAAACTATGAGGGAGTATTTAGAGGTTTCAAGAATGAGTCCAACTGTGTACAGGACTGGATTCTTTAAACAGACTGCTAGTGATTAAACCTAATACAAAAATGATGTGTCTCACAAATCATATGCCAATTACTGAAATTGGAGGTGGAAATATTCTGGATTTGGGGATATATATATATGTGTGTGTGTGTATGTATTTTATGGTGTACAGCTCCCAACAGCACATGCCACTAAACAAAACAAAACTTTATGTCAGACATTTTCTTGTGTCATATGCAACCTTTTGCAAATAATATTCCATTACTACAGATCTGTTCCGCTGTTCTCAGAAAATAAAACATGGGAACACTGGAATGTCTCTTTGCTATAAGATCGAATTATTGGCAATCCTTTTGCTGCTGGGTCTTCTTTGTGTGCAACGTGACATCATAAACCAAAGCAAAATGTTAGTGAATCATTTTGAAATAAGTTGGGCTAATTAACTACACATCCACCTAAAATCGCCTCCTGAAATTGGTTACAAAGTATCTGTAAACATTACTCTGGCATAGTTCACGTATGCATAATTGTTTTTCTGATAAATTTTAGGGGAGTACAAATTAGGATTATACCACACTAGCAGAATGAGCACATTCTGTTGTTCATTACATGGGCACATGTAGATTTCTAATCAAAAATTATTTTAAAAGTTTTCTTTATAGATATCTTCCCAGGAATAAAAGGCCTGAAGTTCAACTCTCCCTAAATTTGCTCTTTCCTATAACCACTAAAAATGATCTCCCACAGCCTAATTTAGGCATTCTATTTAAAACTACATAAAATAGATTTCTGTCCTTCCATTAGAAAGAATAACATCCTCAGGCCATACTCTTCATTTGTATCACAAAGAACATTTTGCTTTTAAACAAACTAATTATTGTATCTATTAGAGTAAGATAGGGTCATCCTACATATCACAAGGAGGAAATTCTCTTCCTTCACTATTTGAGTAATACCTTTTACAAGTCCACACCACCTCTCCCAACACCTAGTGCTGTGCCCCGGCCAGACTGGAAATTCCTTTCCTTCGTCCACTTCAGATTCAAAGGCCTATATTCCTGTTTGTGATCATGGAAGGTTAAAAATCAGACAAGCATCTGTTATACTTGAAAACAAAATCCTGAAAAGAGAGACTCCCAGCGATTTCCATTGCGACCCCTTCTTACACACTTCCATGGGTTCCTGCAAAATAGTGTCACGAAAACTCACAGTGAAAAATGACTGGTGCATAAACAATTCACACACAAAGGGCTGGGGTCCCTTCTAGTCAGTTTGGCATCTATTTCCTCAAGGTGGACCCTTGCATTTGACATTTCACGGTGGCTTAGTTTTTTTTTTTTTTTTGGAAGTGTCAAGGATCAGTTCTGCGGCACCATTTAACCACAGACTGGGAGCAACACGCATCTGTGGCATTTTTAAAAATGGAATTGGCAACTGCTTGACATCGAAAATGCATATTACACTTACAGTGTCTAAACTTTCCTATGTGTGCTCAGATACAATTAGTGAAGCAAAAGTATACATATCACCCCTACTGTTATTCAGTTGCTACAGAGCCATACATGTGAAAAGCAATACTCCGAAATAAAGATTTTCTGTTGTTTTTTTCTTTGCCCTAGCCCTACTTAGCAGCACAGTTTAAGTAAACACAAAAACTGTGTGGTTGAGATGCTTGTCTTTCCAAAGATGTAAACATCAGTCCCAGTGTCGTAAACGTTGCTGTATCGAATGAGACAGAAGATCTGAGGCAGAAAGACTATCACACACTAGTAACAGAAGCTTGCAAGCAGTTGGAAGGTTTCTGTAGTTTCTCAGCTTCATTTGTCGGGGGGTCCGTGCTTGCTGGGAAGTTGAAGGCTGGACCAACTCCACCGTGGGCCGGGCTCAAGGCGGGGTTCTGACGACGGTTACTTTCAACAATGCTTGACGTGTTGGAAGCCAGGCTCTCCCGGGTACTAAAAGAGTAAAAAGGGTTTGTTTTGTTTTGTTTGGAACATAAATAATTATAAGTTGAGCCCCAGAGGAAGAGCAAATGATGTCGTTAATGGATTTCCTCTGTCGGTTCATAATGTCATATCAATATACATCTCCACTGATTATTCACATCTGCCTCTCCACCATGGGCTCCAGAAGCTTCCACAGACACGTAATAATCAGCAGCACATTCAGGGAATAAAGGGTTTTTAAACAGCTAAATGCACTTTGAAATGTCTTCTTCTTTTCACACTCAAGGAACAACTTCAAAATTGGAGGTGATAGCTAACTATCACAGTAGTTTTTTAAATGGACACTCAGAATACACCTAAGTCATTATTTCATTTCAGCCTGGAAACTCATTGTCATAACCACTCCAGAATACACTCGGTAATTCTACTCCAATGACTCCTTTTCATTATGGATTAGCAGATTTCAGCTTTGGGGGACTCTGGGCATGCCCCTTTTGGGAGACCCTGAGCATTTGCCGCACAGATAGGAAGAAAATTCATTTTAAATGTTTTATTCCAATGTTTCCAATTTTAACGCCTTAGTTAAAATACATTATATTTTCGATAAAGGACCATAGATTTTCTTCCCCATTCATCTTTTAAGTTTACATTCATTTCTACCCCACTTTGGCAGGACTGTTTTTGTTTCAGGGTTTTTTTTTTGGAGACAAGTTCTTGCTCTGTCCCCCAGGCTGGAGTGCAGTGGTGCAACCTCAGCTCACTGCATCCTCTGCCTCCCGGGCTCAAGCGGTCCTCCTACTCCAGTCTCCCGAGTAGCTGGGATCACAGATGTGTGCCACCACACCCGGCTAATTTTCATGTTTTTAGTAGGGAACGGGTTTTGCCATGTTGCCCAGGCTGGTCTTGAACTCCTGAGTGTAAGCAATCTGCCTGCCATGGTCTCCCAAAATGTTGGGATTATAGGTGAAATATTTTCTTTTTAAAATAATTCTTGTAGGACAGAGGTGATTTAAAAGCTTTATTATTTTGCTTTCTCTTTTCCTTTTTCTAAGTTAGAAACATTTGAATCTATTTCATTGCTTTAAGAGATTTAGACTATGTAAGGTTTCAAATGCATAGAGCAATGGCAGAAATAAGATGACTGGGCCAGACTGAGAAGAACCAAGTAGGTTTCCTGTTGCAGGGCCTACAACATTTCCTGTTGTAGCTGAAATGTATCAGCTACAGAGACTGAGCAAGCCAGAAGCATTCTCAAAACGTCCACTCCATGAGGCAGAGTCAACACTTAGGGAATATTCTCTGAGAGTTGGTCCCCACACCTGACTTAAGCATGTTTAGAGCCAGTTAACAGGTCAAACTTCTACAGTGGAGATGTCCTCTCCTCTCCTGCATTCCCATCCCAAGCTGATAGCAACTCTGTCTGAATCCTATACTCAGATGGCCCTTTCCATCAGGTTATTTAAGCCTAACTCCTTGTGGCTTTGAGTTCGCTTCTCACCAAGAAGCCAAGGCAGTCTGTCCACTGACAACCAGATAAAAAACCCTGGGACTTTCCTGAATGCAGAGGGTACCTCCAGAAAGGTCACTCATTTACAGAGAGAAGTCAAGTTTTTCATTATGCTTATGGTAAATCTGGGCATTCCCAAAGGACACTCCAAAATGTCATCACTGAAAGGGAAAGTGCTAGACTTACCTACATGACATCTCTCCCAGGAAGATTCACAAGTGGTTTGCCAGAGCTACCACTGAGGCATGGGGCAGGCGGAGGAGGGAGGAGGGGCAGGAACAGTGCAAAAGCCCGAAGATTTCAAGACACATTGCTTCGGTGTCTTTCTTAATCACTCGAGTAACTTTTTAGGTATCTGACTTCCTCAACTCTAAAATACGGAGAGTTATGATGGGATTTACCTACTCATAGGGTGACTGTGAAGAAGAAATAACCATCAAGGAAGAATCTGTTCACTAATAAGGTAGAAACGTGAATTATTTATGTTATACACCTAGCATATAGTGAAATAAACAGTGACTATGGGTTGGCCTCAGAATCCATGTATTACAAATGACATATTTTCTAGGGGAAAATACATTTAAAGTCCAAAGGATTCACTCTTAAACCAGCTTTCAAGGAGGGGACTCAATATCTGTTGAGTGCCTGCTGTATGCCAGGCACTGTAAACACATATGCAACAGATCATCGGGCTGGGGTCTGTCTCTACTGTAAGATGTCTTCACCCACCTCCAGTCACAGCCACCTTCAATCACAGTATTAATCGTGGCAAATATGTACCGTACTCCATCTTCTCCAAAGAGTGTGTTTCATTATTGTTGTGATAATGATTAGTCTGTGACATTCATACTGAGGGCTCCGGATGTGCTGATGAACAAGTTGAAGCAGATGGAATGTTAGCAGTAAAAATAGTCCTCAAATTTAAAAGTTTGTTTTTTGAGACGGAGTTTGCTCTTGTTACCCAGGCTGGAGTGCAATGGCGCGATCTCGGCTCACCACAACATCTGCCTCCTGGGTTCAGGCAATTCTCCTGCCTCAGCCTCCCGAGTAGCTGGGATTACAGGCACGCGCCACCATGCCCAGCTAATTTTTTGTATCTTTAGTAGAGACGGGGTTTCACCATGTTGACCAGGATGGTCTCGATCTCTTGACCTCATGATCCATCCGCCTCGGCCTCCCAAAGTGCTGGGATTATAGGCTTAAGCCACCACGCCCGGCCAAAGTTTTTTTTAAAGGGAGCTAATGGAGTGCAACCTTAAAAACAGGATTTCAGGATTTCACAGGCAGGAGATATGAACCAAGGCCCTCTGCTGTTCAACCTTCCGTGCGCAGGTGCTCCCCTGGCCCAGGCGGCTCCGGCACACGTTCACACAATACATTCAACAGACACAGCCCGGCAGCCTTTGGCCTCTGATTTTAATACTGTGTTTATCAACCAGCTTTAGGCCTCACATTTGGAATGGCAGGCTTTTCATGTCAAGACTTCCCATTTCCAGTATTAGATCTCATAGCATAGCTCAAGTTTCTACCCTCTTTCCTTCGAAATACCTTTTTATTCCCAACAAAAGAGACTAAAGAATTTTGGAAACGCGGCTGAACGTGACTTCTGAGCCAGCACTGAAACTCTGGAGTGTGGAGAAAATCACCGTTTGGGGTCTTTTTTTTCTTTTTGGTTGGGGCTTAGTGCTCGGTGAATTATTTACTGAAAGATTCTAATAAACGGCTTGCTTAAGATTTTCATGTCAGGGCTCGGCATGGTGGCTCATGCCTATAATCCTAGCACTTTAGGAGGCCGAGGCAGAAAGAGCTACAAGAAACTTTATTTTAATTACCAGGCGTGGCGTCACATGCCTGCAGTCCCAGCTACTCAGAAGGCTGAAGTGGGAACCTGCTTGAGCCCAGGAGTTTCAGGCTACAGTGAGCTACAACCACCACTGCACCCCAGCCTGGGCGACAGAGTAAGACCCTGTCTCTAAAAAAAAAAAAACTAAAGATTTCCACGTCTCACAGCAATGGGTATGAGCACGATAATGCTATTTGGCCAAAATAGTTCTCAGGCTGGAGAGTAAAGTCTCTAGAAGTCAAATACTTACCTCTGCAGAACAGACTCCTGGATCAGCAAGATAACTCAGTGACTTTATTAAGGTGTGTAGAAAATAGTTTGTCACCTCACTTCTAATCGAAGGACGGTAAATACAAAAGGGGTAAAATTAGCAATTGTTCTGTAGATTCTCTAACTGCGTAAAATGTACGGGCAATACATGTTTTCACGTAGAGAAAATGTTACTTGCTATTAGTGGGCAGATGTGTGGCTACTGCGTGAAGCTGTCTCTTTAGAACAACCTTTATCTTCGGACATGACAAAGCAAAGTACACGATGAAACAACTGAAAACCAACTTACTTCGAGAAACAAGCCCAGTCATAAAGTCTATATTCTGCACCCTAATTTCGAGATAGTAAAACATATTCTGTAGAGATACTGGTTCAACCATTTCCTGAATATTTCCGTTTACCTTCAAACAAACAAAAAGCTTTCAATGTTACGTAGTTGAAGGTTTCCCAGTTAGAACCCACTGACCTACTCCCAGTGTCTCCTTAGCAAGTCTCTTTAGTAAGGCAGTTTCCTGTCTGTGGAAGCCCAGGGGCCCAGAGGGAAAGGAGAAAGGTTTAAAACGAGCATGTGAAAGGCAGGTAGGAGGCAGAGGCTACATAATGCGAAACAGCAGGACAGAAAGACACAGCCAAATACCCCACACCTTCCACCAGCGATGGTTCTGAATTTCCACCGCAGATTACAGACCTTCTGTTTTGCTAATCTGGTAACCACTACTAAAAACTCAAGAGGAAAAAAAGAGTAGAATAGGAAAATGAAGAATAAAAGGATAATTAGAATAAATTGGAAAATAAATTAATATCTGATTTGGGATTTAAAAAATTTTTAAGCAAAAATGATTTCTTAGAAAAGCCACTCAGAACACTAGCGGTTTTCAGGCGGAGGCCCAGGGCTCCCTGAGGTCTCATGGGCTCCTCGAGGGATGGGGAGAGGGACTGGGACCCATGGTCTCCACTGTCACCACGACCACCTCTCAGCTCTGGGCAAACATTAGACTTCCACACAGGTGTTAACTTGGAAGAAAGGCTCCATGATCAAAATAATAATATAGCGATAATAATGAACCAGCCCTTTAATAAATCACAAAGGCCTAATATGGGACAGACCAATTAAGGATTCCCAGTTCCAGCTGTGTGATGCTCACTTCCAAAATGATCCAGATATAGTGACATGATCACAACAGAATTATTTTAATTCCTAATAATGAAAATTAATATATGAAATGCATAATCCTATCTGAATATGTGTTAAAATTATAAGTATTGTAAAATCTTGGGAATCAAAGCTGATGAGAAATGTCAATCTCTCAGTAGTATTTCTGCATCTCAGAGTCACCAATCTGGAGTAGAATGTAGAAGGAGAATTAGGCCCCATGTTGCTCTCTGAGGAGAAGAAAGAGTTAAGGAGAAGAGAGGAAGTTGCAGACTCTCCTTTGCCTTCTGAATCCCTGAGCAGCTCCAGAGCTTTGGCCGTGACCTCTGGGCACCACTGACTCTCAACTGTCAACCCTTTGCTGAACTACGAACACCTACTAACAAGAAGGAACTCCAGTTAGACTGCCCAGATGAGTTCCATCGATTCTGCAGGAGGAGAAATCAAAGTCCTGGCACATGCTTTCATCTAACAGAGCGCAGGCTCCTGCCCGGGCTGTGAGGGAAGAAAGATTCCATCTCTCTGCAGTGAAAGGGAGGTGTGTGAGCCAGGGGAGCAGGCTGCACAGAACACTGGGATCCAAATACCAGCTTCTAGATCCACTGGAGAGGTTTTGAGATCTGTTCTTATATTTTCACTAGAGGGACTCCCATCCTAGCAACAATCAATTTCCTTCCAACCCCTGTCTTCCTCCCCACCCCTAGACTATTCTTCCTACTCAAGAAGTTACTACTTTTGAAGGACTTAAAAAACACCCTTCCCTTAGCGTGGTGGCAATACGAACATAGCAGAAAAAATACTGGAAATGTTGGTTTTAGTTAGACCGAACTGATGCAAGTTTGAGGGTAGGAGCCAACCCACCAGTCCAGATTGGTGATCTCTACAGGTGCAGAAACATTTTTTTCAATTCCTGAAAAAGAAGTCAGAGACAGATTGTTAACAATACAACTCATACAACTCTTAATCCTCATCCACAGAACTGAGTCTATGAAATCAGAAGCCTGTCAAGTTATGTGCATAAAGCCCCAGGCCCCGATAGGCATATGCGTGTGCCAAGAGACACGTGTCCCTACCGTGGGGAGTTGAATCCGCTGTCCACTGTGATACTGCTGCTGTCCATGCTGTCAAGCCGGGCTGAATGGGTGGCTCTCTGCTTGCTGCTGCTGTCGGTCTCTTTTGGGGCAAGAAGGGTGAGGTTCTTTTCAAATTTCCTCTGCAAATCTCTTTCCTTCTCCCTCTCGAGGAGCCACTGCATGGTGCCCACGTCCTCTCTGTTTTTCTCCTCCTCAGTGTTCTTGTTCGCCCCTTCCTCAGAGTCATCATCATCAGAGACGTTGTAATAGTCAAAAGAGGCTTCCTGGTTCCCTCCTGACTCCTGCTGGCGCTGGGAAGCTGGCATGGCTTGTGCCACCGAGGTCCCCAGGGACGGTTCCAGTTTCTCGCATCGGCCTGGCAGTGTGTCAGCAGGTGTCTTCGGGTGAGATTTGAGGAGGGACAGGCTTGATTTGTGATAGCTGTTTACAGACAAGGTGCTGTGAAGAGGTTTGAACAGTGTGTCTTTGCTAAATATCTCTTTCCTTTTGTCCAAGCTGCTGGGCTCAGCACCATGGTGCTGGACAAGGCGTCCATTGGCGATCCCCTCAGCCGCTCCTCCTGAGGCAGCTGGGCCACCACCCGGCCCTTTGGGTGACTCCTCCTTGTGCCCTACAGGCTCCCTGGAGGAGTGGGGGACCTGCCTATCAGATGGGGAGAGCTTTTTCACCCCTTCTGCCAAAGTCAGAGTGTCATGGTCCTCCTTATTCTTTCCCAGAGGTGATGGTGCCGTGAGCACCGTCTCACTAGAGGTGTTGCACTGGAAATAGTCATCTGTGGAGGTTTTCGTTGGACAAGAGTTGAGTTCGCCATAGGATGGCAAACTCTCGGGTGCTTTGCCTGGCTCCAAAAGGCTACAAGCACTGGATGGTTCCTTGCTGCCACTGACTATTTCTGGAATACACACCTCTTTATAGCTTGTGGATGAAATGTGAGCCCTTTGGTGACCAACAGTCTGTGCAGGCCTTAAAGTACTGTCATCAATGTAGGACTGGCTGGGGGTCTGGTCATCTTGGCTACAGCCTTCAGCAAGGTCTTCAGGCGTCCCTAGAGAAGAAGCACCCAGAGGGCCTTTGGAGTTGTCCATCGATCTGGATCTCTCCTTGGCTTTGTTGGATCTCTCATTCCTGGACCTCCGGTCCTGGGTATGGCTGTGGCTTCGGTGCACTTTTGAGTGGGAGCTTCCCCTAGAAGGTTCAGGAAAAGGCATCTCAGTTCTCCTTTTGGCCAATTCACCAGACACATCCCATTCTGGTGTCATGGGGAAGTGGGACTCGATCACGTTTGTGTTGCTATGCATGATGAAGTTATCTCCTGTGTGCTCCATGATGAAACAGCCCTCCCTGGGCACCCTGGTCAGAGGGTCGCAAAAGTCATACTCTCTTTCACCTGGGATATCCAGATGGGAGCCGTCGGAGGGGTCTCCTTTAGACACTCGCGTCTTGCTGTGAGACCGAGACTTTCCATGGGACTTTCGATGAGTCCTACTCTTTTTACTCCTTCCGCTGTGATGGGCAGAAGACCCGGCTTTACTCCTCTGGGCCTTTTCTTCTTCAAGTTTCTTCATGAGTGCGGTGTGCCGCATGACGTTTTCCACGGTCAGGTCTGGGTTGATGCGCCGAATGATCTCCATTTCTACCTCCCGAGGGATCGTGGCTGGCGTGTCCTCGTCTCGCAGAGGCCACTCTTCAGGAGGAAACTGGGCAGAAAAATTGGCCAGCTGTTTGGTCTTGTCTTTTTTAAAACTTAGCCGGAATAACTTCAGCCCGAATTTTTTTGACTGCTTTTCACTATCTTTAGGTTTTGAGAGAGTTTCTGTCTTGTAGGAAAAATTTACAGTACTTTTGCTCTTTTCAGTGGGTGGCACCTGGCACAGAGAAGGGGGGCAGTAAGGGTCTTTGCAGTCCTTGGCAGGCTTCCTCTGCAGGGTGGACGCATGCATGCTGTGCATGTCTTCTCTGCAGCAGTGGCAAGAGTCGCAGTGGTTTCGGGGCAATGTTCTTTCCCTGACGCAGCCTGAGGCAGAGGGCGTGACGGTTCCAGGCTGCGGAGAGGTGCACTGAGACCGGTCAGGTATCCTCTCGTCCAGATGGTACCATTTACTGTTAGTTCTTATGAGGGACGGAGTTATGAAGTAAGTCTGTGGGGTCACGATAAAGTAGCCGTCCGGAGTTGGGTAGATTTTCCTCTCCCGTACCAGGGTGTTCAGTGTGTGCCGCAGAATTTCTTGGCTTGGGGTGGGAACACCTGAAAAAAGAAATCCACTTGTGAGAATGAAGAGAGAATATGTCAATTCCTGACCTCCAGAAGCCCGTTCATTCTGCCAAGATGCGAAGTCACGTCGCATGGCTAGGAGCACAATTCAGACAAAGGCGTTCATTAAGTTGGGTGCAAATCCTAGTTTGCTTGGTTAAGTCCTAAATTACGACCCACGGAATGAGCAGATATAAAAGCTGGGAAGACAGAGGTGGAAGTAGGTGAAGTCAGATTACTACTGTTGTCATAAAGCCTTTCCCGAACTAAACAGGAAAGACAGAACATTTTCAAATGAGAGAAAAATGGAAAATGTTTTCCATCATATGATACAAATGTATAGAAAAGGCTTTTTCAATAAAAGCAACTAGGGAAACAGAGTGAAAATATCTGCCTCGATGTTCAAAACCACATCCAAAATATACAGAGGCCACCACAGAAGGGTTACAGTATGTGCTCATTATTACAGATTTTACTTAATAAACTTAATTTTGTAAATTACACAAAAGGACTACGAGACTTGACTACTGTGTAGGATGAACCCTCTAATTCTGGAGGCGCTGCCTTCCATTTTGAAACCAACTAGAGCACGGGTAACATCCAAGTGACAATGTCCTTTTTGGTGTCAGTCAGCAAGGTGAAGGTGGTTTTTCTAATTTCTGACCAAAGAGCCCTAATAAATGCACAAGTGAAGGCTCTGACTCTATCTCTGTTTGTCAAAAACTCCCATCTTGGCTTGAATAGAAACACCAGATAAAAATGATGAAAGCTTCCTTGTATGAATAATCCTTGTTTTCAAAGGGTTTTTGTGCATGTTTATGTAGAATTAAGAGTACAAATTCGTTTTCTTTTTCTTTTTTCTTTTTTTTTTTTTTGAGACGGAGTTTCGCTCTTGTTACCCAGGCTGGAGTGCAATGGCGTGATCTCGGCTCACCGCAGCCTCCGCCTCCTGGGTTCAGGCAATTCTCCCGCCTCAGCCTCCTGAGTAGCTGGGATTACGGGCACGCGCCACCATGCCCAGCTAATTTTTTGTATTTTTAGCAGAGACGGGGTTTCACCATGTTGACCAGGAGGGTCTCGATCTGTTGACCTCGTGATCCACCTGCCTTGGCCTCCCAAAGTGCTGGGATTACAGGCGTGAGCCACCATGCCCGGCCAAGAGTACAAATTCTTAAGAGAGTTTGACTTCTCCAGGCTCCAGCCCATTTACTTTATTTCTTGAGTATTCTCCATTTCTCAGTGCCAGGCACATAAAAGATGATCCTATTTATAAGATTGATCTGAATGATACCATTTGGAATTCGCTCAGGGTGAATGATACGAAACTGCTAATATTTAACCATCTGACTCACAGACACGGCAGTTCTGTGCAGTTCAACCTAACACGAATAAGGCAGTGTGGTGTGGAGACTGAAAGGCTGGGGCCAGGCTGCTGGGTTGAAACCCTGCCCTATCACGGTGAGCTGGTGTCACTGGTTGAATCACACACTCCCCATCCCAATTTGCATGTGAAATCCTAACCCCCAGTACCCCTCTTAAATATGACCTTATGTGGAGAAGGGGTCTTTGGAGTGAAATGAGGTCTTGAGGGCGGTCTCTAATCTAATATGACTGACATCCTTCTAAAACGGGGAATGATGGAGACAGAAAGGCACAGAGGGAAGACAGTGTGAGGAGACACAGAGAAGGCGCCATCGCAAGCCGGGGACAGGGGCCTCACAGCTCTCAGAAGGACAACCAATCCTGCCGACACCTTGATTCTGGACTGCTGGCCTCCAGAACTGCAGGATGCATGTCGGTTGAGCCACCTGCACTTTGTTACAGCTGCCCCCAGCAAACGAAGATAGCTGGCACCACCTGAGGCCGCTGAGCCTCTCTGAGTCTCTGTTTACCGTCATCAGAAGGTAGGTAACAACAGTACCTGCAGCCGCAGGGCTGAGGTGAAAGAAGTTTGGTGTGTGGGGAGCAGTGCCTGGCACACAGAAAGTGCTCAATAAATAGTAGCTGGGAGTTAGCCTCCACTTTGGGAAGGGACCCAGAAAACCAGATTGCCTTCAAAGAACAATGTGCCACAACCCAGAACACCTGGGTGAGCTGAGATGTTTCAACTGCCCAAGTCCTTCCAAAGTAGGAAATGTATTAGAAATGGCCTACGGCACTTTGGGAGGCCTGAGGAAGGCTGATCTCTATGTCAGGAGTTTGAGACCAGCCTGACCAGCCTGGCCAGCATGGTGAAACCCATCTCTACTAAAAATACAAAAAATTAGCTGGGCATGGTGGCACGTGACTATAGTTCCAGCTACTCGGGAGGCTGAGGCAGGAGAATCACTTGAACCAGCGAGGTGGAGGTTGCAGTAGTCAAGATCATGCCACAGCACTCCAGCCTGGCGACAGAGTGAGACTCCATGAAAGAAGGAAAGAAAGAAAGAGAGAGAGAGAGAGAAAAAGAAAGGAAGGAAGGGAGGGAGGGCGGGAGGGAAGAAGGAAGAAGGAGCCTGGAATTCTCAAGGGGGAAAAATCCATGAATGTAAGGTAACATACACACTCATCTGCATTACCATTTGCAGAAGGCATCCTTAGTGCTCAAATCAGAAAAGGCAGCATAGTTCATAATGTATTGTTTAATATAATTATTTAATTTTTGAGTCTCATGGTTTCTTTTTAGTCTAATGTTTTACTTCTGGTAAGAGAACATTAGTTTTTATACAAATGATTTTAAGACCAATAATAACAAAATTTGTTTTTTAATTTTATAATACTTTCTGTACAAAATAAAAAATGAATTTCTTTTTTTTCTTTTTTTTTTTTTGAGACAGGGTCTCACCCTTGCACAGTCTGGCATGCAGTGGCAAGATCTCAGCTCACTGCAGCCTTGACTTCCCCAGGCTCAGGTGATCCTCCCACCTCAGCCTCTCAGGTGGCTGGATAATTTTTATCACCACCACGCCTGGATAATTTTTAGATTTTTTTATAGAGACAGGATTTCTCCATGTTGCCCAGGCTGGTTTTGAACTCTTGGGCTCAAGTGATCTTCCTGTTTCTCCCGACCAAAGTGCCTTCCGTGAATAATTTCAGGGGACACCATTCACATGGAACCCACCTTCTGAAATGAGGACACACCTCTGCACTGCAGTCTCATGAATGATGCCTGCTGTCGTGTGGCACAGCCACCAAGATAGCAAGCCCGTGTTTAAAACAAACCACATCTTAAATGGTAGCGTACTTTTAGGCAACAATGTGACAAACTTTTTCAAAGACTCGTAAGGTTCATTTATAAATATTTATGACCAGTTTATCATGGCTCCTGATAAGGGGAAGCCAAAGAATACTTCATGGAAATAGCTATTACTATAAAGCAAAAATTTAATTTTAGTGTAGAATTTGCTAAGTGTAGGCCCTCCAAATGGTGATCTTAGGAAACTCAGAAAGCTATTGACATATAAAATCATGACTACAATGCAATCACCTTTACTTACTTAAAAACAAGTTCTCCAGTGGTTCTCAGATGAAGAATAAAAAGGAAAAAATAGAGAAAAAGTTCTCTATTTCCACAGAGAATTTGTACTTAAATTTTCTTATGTCTTGGGTTTCCAGGTATATCAATCAGATAACGTTTAATTTGATATTGCAAACTAGAAACATTCTTTGCCCCGTCCAATCCATTTTCGATGCTATCTGAGAGTTTTCAGACTTAAGTGAACGTTGCTTATGTTTATGATTATCATTTTATTATTAAGCCCTAGTATATTGACTGATTGATGTCTATGAAATTCAGGGTTCTACCAGAAACCTGCAGGGTTGACCTGAGACAGCGATGGTTGTGAGGGATGTTTAATGTCTGTAAATTCCACTGCTCCCAAATTCAACTCTTGAGGTTCATCATGAATTCAGATTCTGAGGCTTAAGGAACAGAAATAAACTTGACATCCTAACAGGGCTGAACCTGACCTCTTCCACACCTTTACGGTTTTCAAAGCAAAAATAACTATCTAAAAATACTGCATGACAATGTGACCTACGTAGACCAATGTGTTGCCTTTTTTTTTTTTTTTTTTTTTTTTCTGACACAACATCTCACTCTGTCATCCAGGCTGGAGTGCAGTGGCACGATCTCAACTCACTGCAACCTCTGCCTCCCAAGTTCAAGCAATTATATCTCAGTCACCCGAGTAGCTGGGATTTCAGGTGCATGCCACCACACCCAGCTAATTTTTGTACTTTTTAGTAGAGATGGGGTTTTGCCATGTAGGCCATGCTGGTCTTGAACTCCTGGCATCAAGTGATCTGCCCACCTCAGTCTCCCAAAGTGCTGAGAATACAGGCGTGAGCCATGGCAATCAGCCCCAACGTATTGCTTTAGTCCTGTAAATATGACAAACTGTCAGAAAAGAGAGCATGTGGACCTGTTCAAAGCACTTTAGGCGGAAACCTTTTATTTATTTATTTATTTTGGGGGGGACAGAGTTTCGCTTGTTACCCAGGCTGGAGTGCAATGGCGTGATCTCGGCTCACCGCAACCTCCGCCTCCTGGGTTCAGGCAATTCTCCTGCCTCAGCCTCCTGGGTAGCTGGGATTACAGGCACGCTCCACCGTGCCCTGCTAATTTTTTGTATTTTTAGTAGAGAAGGGGTTTCACCTTGTTGACCAGGGTGGTGACCATCTTTAGATTATGCTTGTTTGTGAAGAACACTGGCTGAAGAAGAATTCAGTAAGAGCCGACATAAGGAGTGAACGGGAGACATAATACGGTGTGTGGAATATTAACATTCTCCAGCCATCTCTAAAGTCAAGTTCAACTACACACGTAGCCTAATGGGTCTAGCTCTATGTCCCTGAAGGTCAGCCTTCCTCCCAGAAAGATTCAGTTGCACTAGCTTAACAGGTACCAGACCAATTTAAATCATTATTCAGTCTGGATGGATGGATGTGTAGTTATTTAGAAATATGAGAAGCAAGTATTATTCTTTATAAACCTTTAAAAAATATTCTTGATTGTGTAATGGAAACTGACAGATAAAAGCTGTTGAGTTGGTTTTCAAAAATTCAGCCAACTTTTGAGGTATCAGAAATTTTTATTAGAAGATTTTTCACTAAAAACCTTCTTTAGAATATGGATGCCCAAAACAAGAAAAGCCAAATTCTAGATTATATTGATCTACAAATTAAATAAGAACTCAAATATTTTAATAATAAATAGGCTCAAAAACTTGATTTCTGAATGGTAAGATATAAAATAACTAGCTAGGTGCAGTGGCTCATGCCTGTAATCCCAGCACTTTGGGAGACGGAGGCGGGCAAATCACCTGAGGTCAGGAGTTGGAGACCAGCCTGGCCAACATGGTAAAACCCCGCCTCTACTAAAAATACAAAAATTAGTCAGGCATGGTAGTATGCGCCTGTAATTCCAGCTGCTCAGGAGGCTGAGGCAGGCGAATGATTTGGACCCGGGAGGCAGAGTTTGTAGTGAGTTGAGATTGTGCCACTGTACTCCAGCCTGGGCAACAGAGCAAAAAAAAACCAAAAAAAACAAAAAACAAAACAAAAAAATAACCAAATACTTTTTTCTTACCTTAAATATATATATATAAGATCTTTAAATCCCTTCAGAGTCTTAGAATTGTCATTAAAAATATGATTTAAAGGGTTAGGTTTTCCAAAATATTTTCTTCTGCTGTAGCTTACATGATAGCAAAAGACAGACAGAAACCAAAGGAAGGAAGGAAAGGGAAAGAGAGAGGGAGCTAAGAAGAAAGAAAAGACAGCAGGCAGGAAGGAAACAAACTCATTTTTAATAAAATACCTGTTTAAAATCTGGAGCTATTGCTGATCAGAACTTTAAATAGTTGCCCCCATGCCCTAGCCCAGGGGTCAGCAGACTTTTTCTGCAAAGAACCAGACAGTAACTATTTTAGGCTTTTAGCCATACAATCTCCATCGAGACGACTCAACTCTGCCACTAACACATAAGGAGCCAAAGATCATCCATGAGCAAATGGGCACGGCTGTGTTCCAATAAAACTTTATTTAACAAAAACAGGTGGTGGCCCACACTGGGCCTGCAGGTTAGCAAACTCCTGCGCTAGACTAGGGTTTGTATGGTGTCCTTGCAAACGTCTGAGGCTGACCAACGAGTCATTAGAGTCACACAGAAGAAAAAGCTCCTCAGTCTGTCTGAAAACCAGGGCCTTGGGATTTAACTTTCCTTCCCATAAAAGCTAGCAAAACAGTTATTCTTTTAAGGACAAATGACCTATGGATTACTCCACAAAGTATTCCAACTTAGTGATATTGTTATCAGCTGCTTGGCAGTGAGGCGCATTTTACTATTTTTTTTTTGAGACCGAGTTTCGCTCTTGTTACCCAGGCTGGAGTGCAATGGCGCGATCTCGGCTCACCGCAACCTCCGCCTCCTGGGTTCAGGCAATTCTCCCGCCTCAGCCTCCTGAGTAGCTGGGATTACAGGCACGCGCCACCATGCCCTGCTAATTTTTTGTATTTTTAGTAGAGATGGGGTTTCACCATGTTGACCAGGAGGTTCTCGATCTCTTGACCTCGTGATCCACCCGCCTCGGCCTCCCAAAGTGCTGGGATTACAGGCTTGAGCCACCGTGCCCGGCCCATTTTACTATTATACATTGGCTCTATGTTCTTTCCATTCTTTATTTTATAGCCCCGTAATGGGAGGTATGTAACCAATTTCGGAAAAGCCATGTGATTTCTCATGAAGCTATATAAAAATATAAGAATTTAAAAAGCTCCCCCCAAAAAAACCTCCCTTTAAAAAGCTCATCAAAGGTTGTTTGATGTCAGAAGCGGCTATGCACTCATAGGGCAGAAAGCAGGGCCTTCCTTAAAGACCATCGTGTTTGCCAGCACCATCTGTCCCCCCCCACCCCACTTAGGTGGCTCTCACCTGGGGTTCTGCTTCTCTCACTACTGAAAGAAAAGGGGATTGCCTGGCTCTTAACAAAAAGAGACAGGCAGTCAGATAGTAAAAATAGTCAGAGACAATACAATGCTAGAAAACATAAAATAATTTGTATGTTGCAAAGGCGAGTTCATGTTAGAGATTTTTGAACCATATACATAACACCAAAATATATTAATTAGAATCTTGAAAGAGGAGGAATCATCGCAAGAAGAGGGAGAAAACATTTCTTTGGGGCAAAAGGCAAAGCAGGGAGACCGATATGGTAGACTAGATCTCTACTTAGCTTAATTAGTCCTCTCGATCTCTTCCCATGCGTGGGGTGCACTTCCCCACACCTGATTTTGAGTTTAGCAGGTTTGCTTTGGGCAATGCAATGTTAGTGGCGTGGGCACGACCATAGCTTGAAGAGCCTTTTACGCAGTGGGCTTGTGCTCTGGCGCCTCTGCCATCATGAGCGGAAGCGATCTCCATTCGCCCCCTTTTCTAAATAGTATGGGTTCAGATGGAGCAGAACCACCCTGCTGGGCCCTGCCTGGATCAGCTGACTCCTGGGGAACCCACAGAAGCATGAGTGAAATCAATGTGAAATCAACGTTGGTTGCTGTAGGCCTCTGATGTTCTGTAGTTGTTTGTTACCCGGCATTTTTGTAGCAAAAGCTAACTGATACAATTAACGGCTTCTATTTACTAAAATATCTGGCAAGTTGGATGAAAAAGATATCAAACGTTCCCTTTTAATATAATCTAGGAGCAGGCTGAGTCCACACCAAGCTGGCAAACTGGTAGCCTGATAATGTATTTCACTTGACTTGCATGTTGCTGGCACACACACACACACACACACACACACACACACAATTGCCAATATTTAAGGAAATGTAGCCTGATAATGTATTTCACTTGACTTGCATGTTGCTGACACACACACACACACACACACACACACAATTGCCAATATTTAAGGAAATGTAGCCTGATAATGTATTTCACTTGACTTGCATGTTGCTGACACACACACACACACACACACACACAATTGCCAATATTTAAGGAAATGTAGCCTGATAATGTATTTCACTTGACTTGCATGTTGCTGACACACACACACACACACACACACACAATTGCCAATATTTAAGGAAATGTAGCCTGATAATGTATTTCACTTGACTTGCATGTTCACACACACACACACACACACACACACACACACAATTGCCAATATTTAAGGAAATGTAGCCTGATAATGTATTTCATTTGACTTGCATGTTGCTGGCACACAAATGTTATAATGTACACACATACACACACACACAAATTGTCAATATTTAAGGAAATGTAGAGATTTCCCATAAAACCAAATTTCCAGATTCTCTTGAAACATGAGATTGACAACTCTGGCAGGACCTCCATTTGGGGGCGGGGCGATAATGACACTGGCTCTCTTGAGAGAGGGTCCTGCCTTCTGCAGCTTGTCACCCTTCCTAACACCTTCCAGCACTGAAAGCGTCAAATGCCACTCACACAACAGCTGGGCTGTTGCCTCCTTTTTATAATATTTAAGAGAAAAGTAAATATTTTATTTTTTAAAATAAAATCTTAACTAATTTTTCAAATACGATTTTCTTGAAACTTGTCCAGCCATGACACACATTGTTTGACACGACCCTTTAAATTGTGCTGTTGAACCCTCACGTTCATGTATTTAAAGATTAGATTGCAAAGACTGATGGGAGTCTTGACCGTTTTTGCCAGATTCTTCATGGATTCTAAATTAATTTCTCCCTCTCAGTGCCAAATTTAAAAGTATGACAGCGGAAGCAGTTATTTTTGATGTCATACAGGAGCCTGAATTTTTAATTACAGAGGTAAGGAAAGTTTCTGGTCAGTTTTGGGGAATAATTTTTTCCTATTATCTTTAAACATGGGAAGAACAGTCCATGCGAGGCCCTAGGGCGACCAGAGCACACTGCCACCTGGAAAGTGCCACGTTCCCGCCTCGTTACCTGGGAAACACGTGGTCAGGTGCTCCATCAGTGCTTCTTGGGTGACAGGTTTCCTTGCCGAGTTCATTGCTGAGATGGCCAAGCAGAGGATTTCCCCGAGTGGAATAAACTGAGACTGACTGATGGGAGACATACTGATTGGTGATACATCACCTGCAGAGAGACAATTTTCAAGTGAGTGGTTATTTATTTAAAAGACCCGGTCATCTGTCAGACACACACCTTCACGTGTCCACACCCCTCCCACCTTCACGCGTCCACCCAGCCCTGCTCTGATGAACACAGTTAGCTCTGAACACAGAAGCTGCTTACCATTTCCACTCAGGTGGAAAGACTTCCATATGCAGTGGAAGCTCCTACTGCCTCAACAAATAAAACTAACATCTGAGATCTCATTGAAACAGTCCTAGAACGGAAAGTCTTGCAACAGGCTTTTATTTGTGATTTGATTAACTTGGAGCTGATTTATTTAATAACCGCCATTCATATCTCGACAAATTGCATTTGTGTAACTTGATTCATTCATTCAAACATGGAACGCCTTTATGCACCTGCTGGGGGGATGGGAGCTGCAGGCAGAGTGAGTGCGCGCCCCTCCCCAGATATCTCTGCCCTCAGTTTCTATTTAAGTGGAGGAGACAGAAAAGTAGATCAAAGTCCCACTGTTGTGTGGCAGGCACACAAGAGAACAGAACAACACCTGGGAGCTGAGAGAAGAGGAAGGATAACATCACCGGGAGGTGAGGGTGGGACCCGGAAGCAGGAAGTTCCAAGGTTTCACCAAGGAGGTGTAATCTGAACACAGTGCTCAAGAGCAGGTGTGTCCCTGAGGGGCTGAGCCCTATAAACAGACGTTTTCTGGGGAGATAGGTAGGTAGGGACGACCACGAACAGAGTTGGGTGTGCAAGCTCTGCGTTCTACTAGGGATGGTGAGCCATGGAAGGTCAAAGACAGGTGTGAATTTCAGAAAGATGACTGTGGTGGCCATGGGGATGACGGCCTGGGAGGAGCGGGAGAAGGGAGATTACAATTCTCTCTGAGACTGTGGCCTCCTGCATACTAAAAGGGCCAACGGAGGCAGGAGAGGCTGAAGACCCAGCATCACATGGAGACAGACGGTGACTACAAGATGTCGGCCTACAATGCAAATATCCATCTTCATTTCTCGTCTTGACACCGCAGTGCAGTGATTCTCAAGTTATGGCGCCAGGATCCCTGGAATATTTCTGGGACGGAGGTGCCCCAGCAGAAGCAGAGGCTGGGAGAGTAGGAAAGTCAGCTCCTGACACCTGAGTGCCACCTGTTTCATACTTGGGGTCCTCCAAGATTTCGCTTGAAAAGATGTCCTACAGAAAGAGGCGGCAAACTGTCACCACAGTAGAACACAGAAGGGCTCACAGAAAGGTCTGTTAGGTTTCGAATCTGATTTCCCAAATGTATTACATAATCTCTCCTTTTTCTGTTTCCGAAGCCTGCTAGCAATAAGCTCCCATGGCTGATGGAAACCGAGACTCTGGCATTAAGCAACATCTCCCCAAGAAGGTGTCGGCTGCTCTGGGGTGGACCAGCCTCCTCACAGCCAGGCACCTAAAGCCGTGCCAGCCACAGTTCCTAGTTTGCAGAGGAGGGCAGAGTCCCTAAGGGAAAAACCTGCTGCTTTGATGGACTAGATGGGAAATGGTTTGGCAGCTGAAATCAGGCAGTGGGGCCTGGGAAGAAGGTCAGCATATGTGGGGATTGTCCAGCAGGTGCCTCCGACAAAGTGGCAGAACTCCAGCACCCAAGGCCCAGGCCTCACCCCGCTTCCCACACCCAGCTCAGTTCAATGCCCCCCTTTCCCTGGACCACATGGCGCTCCACTCAGCACTACTGTGGCTCTCTCTCTGCAAGGTGGATATGAGAAGGGTAAGACATTATCCCAGTGGCCAGAGGGAGACAGCAGTACCTACATCCAGAAAAGAAAGAAGAGAAAACTCAGCAGAAGCCAGGAACTGATCTAACTTAGAACACAAATTTCCGGGGCCTGTGGGTCATAGGCATCATAAAGAGATGCCCTTGGAAAAATTCTCATAAAAGCTGTTTGTTTGAGACAGGGTCTGGCTCTATGGCTCAGGCTGGAGGGAAGTGGCACAATCATAGCTCACTGCAACCTTAATTAAACTCAAGAGATCCTCCTGCCTCAGCCTTCCAAGTAGCTGGGACCACAGTCTGGCCACCTCCTAAAGCATTTGGATGACAGGGCACCATGCCCAGCCCAAACCAAGTCTTATTCTAAAACCTAATGTGGGTCGGGCCAGGTGGCTCACATCTGTAATCCCAACACTTCTGGAGGCCAAGGAGGGCAGATTGTTTGAGCCCAGGAGTTTGAGACTAGCCTGGGCAACATGACAAGACACCGTCTCTACAAAAAATACAAAGCTTAGCCGGGCATGGTGGCATGCGCCTGTGGTCCCACATACTTGGGACGCTGATGTGGGAAGATCCCCTGAGCCCGGAAGGTTGAGGCTATAGTGAGCTGAGATTGTGCCACTGCACTTCAGCCTGGGGCAGGAGCCACAGAGCGAGACCCTGACTGTCAATCAGTAAATACATAAGAAACATGTAAATATTGGCTGAGTGCTGGCAGCAGAGGCGAGAGTTGGGAACTCCACCTGCCCGACTCTGCCCTCCTCACAGCAGGCCCTACAGCTCGGCCGTAGATAGTCTGAGACACTGTCCTGTGATTCCTTCTCTCACTCCACCACTGTATAGGACAGGGCCACTGAAGCCAGCTTTCTTACAGAGTTGTAAGTTCAGCCATGTGGACCTGAAAGTCACCTGGGATGATTTTAAAAGTCGGATGAAAAGGAAGATGAAATCAGCTGGGAAAGAGGGAGAGGGTCAATGCAGATTCCAGCACCTCTGGGCCTGGATATCACTCGGGAGGTTAATGCAGTCAAACATGTGCCTATTATAACTAAGAGCATCTCCGAAGATGAAAGATACAAATATACTAAATATGATCCCCAAAATGCAGGCCACACTGTTTCTGGGTTTTGTAAAGGTGATAAGAGGAAACTCGATCACCGCTTCGGTTTAGGTCATGCTTGTCCTTGTGGATTGAGGTGAAACCATTTGTTTAGTTTCACTGCCATGTTCTCAGTTAATTTCTTTTCATTCATTGTGGCCGAATCCAAGAGGCAGCATGCTTTAAGTGCCTGAATGGCATTTGCTTTGGAAAAGCTCAGTTTCACCATAATAATGAATATGGGCAATAAGTTTTAACTCACAATGTAGAACAAAATGGAATTTGGATGTTCTAAATATCTCCACCTCTTCTCATTTTTGTATTACACTAAGATAAATGACTTTAAACTCCTTTCCCACCCCCAAGCCCATCAGCAAGCCTGTCTACACCCAAATGCTTCCTGGTTTGTTCCCTCAATTCCACCCCTAGAGCTCTCCTAAACTGCCATCATCTCTCACCTGGTCCATCATAATACCCTGATAATGCTCAGCCTTCCCTCCTGTCTCCGCCACTCCCCTCTCCACAGAGCAGCCAAGGTGCTCTTAGGAAAACAGAAAACACACCACTTCCCTGCATAAAATCCTCCAGGGACTGCCTGCTGACCCTGGAAGAAAACCTGAGCTCCGCGGTAGGCCTACAGGAGCCCACGTGGTCTGAGCCTGCCCCCCAACGCTAGGACCACTCCCTACCTCCATCCTTACTTTCCACTCACAACCTCCTCTGCTCTCTGAGCATGCCAGGCATTTCCTCCACTCAGGGTCTTTGTATGTTTTGTTCCCTTGGCCTGGGATGTTCCTTGGGTCGACCTCATCAGAGAGCCCTCACCTGCCATTCCAACATAGCCGAGTTTACTGTCTTCTCTCCCTGCACTGGCTTTGGTTCGCTGGTTTACTGTCTGTCTCACCCACTCGAAGGTAAGCTCCATGACAGAAGGCAATGTGAAGGCCACATTCCCAGCACCTAGAATGACGCGGTGCTTACCCAACAAATATTTGTAGAATGAATAAATACCAATTTTTAACATCATAATCCAAGGAATTTCTTAATAATCTTAAAGGACTGTAATTTTATTACTATTTTTGCTAAATAATTGCAAACAAACAAAAAGAGACCAAATAAGTTTAGCCATGCAATTTCTAAGACTCCCCCAATCAGCTGCATGAGGTACAGTCCTCCAAACACAGCAGTTACTATTGAAAAATAACTTTATAATACAAATATTATATAGCAATAAAAAATTAATACAAATGAGTACATTTTGTGAAAGAATAATTATATATTAAGTGAAGTTTAGAACATGTATTTAAGATCTGTATTAAAGGAATCACAGGTATCTCTCAACACAACATAAACATTATTCAGGTTTACCATAATCTTCTGTGGACCCTATAGAAACCTGCGTAATAAGCCAACTACTCATTGTTAACATATGGTACTAGAAAATTCTTCCGGCTGGGCATGGTGGCTCATGCCTGTAATCCCAGCACTTTGGGAGGCTGAGGCAGGCGGATCACCTGAGGTCGGGAGTTCAAGACCAGCCTGACCAACATGGAGAAATCCCATCTCTACTAAAAAATGCAAAATTAGCCAGGCGTGGTGGCACATGCCTGCAATCCCAGCTACTCGAGAGGCTGAGGCAGGGGAATCACTTGAACCTGGGAGGCGGAGGTTGCAGTGAGCCGAGATCATGCCATTGCACTCCAGCCTGGCAACAAGAGTGAAACTTTGTCTCAAAAAAAAAAAAAAAGAAAAGAAAATTCTTAGGCGGGGCGCGGTGGCTCAAGCCTGTAATCCCAGCACTTTGGGAGGCCGAGGTGGGTGGATCACGGGGTCAAGAGATCAAGACCATCCTGGTCAAAATGGTGAAACCCCATCGCTACTAAAAATACAAAAAATTAGCTGGGCATGGTGGCGCGTGCCTGTAATCCCAGCTACTCAGGAGGCTGAGGCAGGAGAATTGCCTGAACCCAGGAAGCAGAGGTTGCGGTGAGCCGAGATCGCGCCATTGCACTCCAGCCTGGGTAACAAGAGCGAAACTCCATCTCAAAAAAAAAAAAAAAAAAAGAAAGAAAGATAATTCTTCCAACTACTGGACCACATTTATTTCTTCAAAGAAGAAAAAAGAGAATGTAAGTACTGCTAAAA